TGCAGCTTAGTGGCTGATTGAGCCCTGCAGAGCAGCAGGTGGAAATATTTATATAGCCAGTCAGGGGTGAGGAGACCCCTAAGGTGACCCCTAAGGTGACCCCAAGCCCGATGGGATGCATGGACAGCCAGATCAGTGAGTTGTGAGTCCACCTGGGCATGCCCACCTCACCTCAGTGACCTTGTTCCAACATGGTAGCCGTACACCAGCTACTCTTCTCACTGCTCAAACAAAGCTAACTTATGCTGCTTGCATACAAGATTAACTCATAACCCAACTTCTTAAATCCTTCTTTCATTTTTTTTAATTAGCTGTGCGCCATAATGATCAAAATTAATTTTTAAACAGATCTATGGTGCGAATCAAAAGGTTTCACTTATTGATATAAATCTGACAATAATCATATGTTTTTGAATAAATAAGTACATTATACATCATTCTGTAAGCTGGGATAAAAATGAACATAAAAATATTCCTACCAGGAGGACGGAAAATAAGTGGAAGGACAGCACCAGAGTCAGCATGAAGAGAAGACTGTCAACAACAAGTAGAAGAAATCCCTTTTTTTTGGTCATGTTAATAACAATGACAGCAAATATACTTGCAGCCATATGGGCTCAGGTTAGCCTAAGCTATATCTATAGTTATGCTGCTATAGGCTTAGACTGCTGGAGGACATAGCGACCCCTTTTTCATCATTCTGAATCTTTTAGTTCTATGTCTGCTTCTGTCTCCTTGAACCCCGGTCAGCCTCCCAGACGGCCGCTCACACTGAGGCTGGTCCCACTGGAGGTTTCTTCTTGTTAAAAGGGAGTTTTTCCTCTCCACTGTCGCTACAAGCATGTTTAGTGTGAGGGATTACCCTCGAGTCAATGAGTCGATGCAATCAACTGGTTTTCCTTAGATAGAAATCAATTTGATTGTATGATTTGGGGAACTGTAAAGTACCTTGAGATGACTTGTGTTGTGAATTGGCGCTATAGAAATAAACTCAGTTTAAATTGATTATGTACAAATATATGAAACATATATTTAATGCTCTGAAATTCCATATCAATGCATTTTTGCACCAATTTCTCTCACATAGTTTACATTTGATCACTGCTGTGGTTTATAGAATTGAAATGTTGTGAAAGTTATACAAAATTTTGTATACACTCTGTGTATACAAAATGACAATAAAAGTAGATTAAGTCGTGCACATTTGACATCTATTTAAATATATTTAGTTACTTTCATATATTTTTTTTCATGTTGCACCCTGCTAACATTAACATGATTAAGTGTACCAAAAACTGTTACATCATTTTTTTTCAGTGAAACATCCATGCCTGTTTCTGCAGTAGATGTATGAATGAAGTGGGATGTGTGTGTATTTGTTGGTTGTTGAAAACTTACAAGTGAGAGACTCACTGCAGCCTCATCCTGTCAGAGGAGACAGAGAAGAGGGTTAGTCACTGATACATTCAGACATTCATTCCAACCTTTAAAACACAATCTGACCTTTTTATTTAGCTTCTCTCTGCTTCCAAGAAGAGCATGGGCTTTAAGTATTTCAGCCTGAGGAGATCAGGTAGAGAGCAGATTATTATGACTAGGCTTAATTCAGTCAGAGCAGATCTCCATAGTGACCCTTACTCACATCAGAGGACAGCAGCAGGCTGGGATCCAGGAGATTAAACCAGGTCTTTAATCTACTGAGGAAAGACTGTGGAAAACAGAGTTGAGTTTAACAAGCATCATGCTGCTCTGCATGTTTAAACACCACTGGGAACAGTTACCTGGCCGTGGCTTTTCCAGAGCTGCAGGTTCGGATCCATAACTAACGAAAAGTTTAATTCACACTTCCGAAGTTAAGAAAAGAACAGCAACTGTGGGGGAAAAATAATAAAGCATGTCTTTCTCATGTATCTGAGGTCAAGCTGTTTAACGAATACTTCCGGCTTCAATCACGTGTTATGAACTGTGGGTGTGTCTTTATGTTGCATTCAAAAACATAGGAAATAATATATATGCTTTCTCTTTTAGGGATACTGTTGTTACAAAGTTTTTTATTTTTTTTTATTTGGATTTCTCAGAATTTTTTGGATTTCTCAGAATTCTGAGATTAAAGTCAGAATTCTGAGTAAAAAAAAGTCAGAATTCTTAGATTAAAATCAGAACTCTGAGATTAAAACGAGAATTCTTAGATTAAAGTCAGAATTCTGACTTTTTCCCATATTAAACTGAAATAATATTTAAAAATCAGTTAACTTTTTTTCCCCCCCAAATGGCCCTAATCCTTCTCAGTACTTTTGAGTACACAGTTTGGAAAGCATTGTATAGGTTATTGCAGTCATACAGTATGCCCGCGCCACTCACAATATGGCCTCGACGCTCACGTACTGAATGCGCACCTGAAGGCAACATGACCTACACAGACGCCCCTTTTTATTCCTGGCATTATTAAGTGTTAAATATTTAGCCACTATATATTTATTGTAGTATAGAGACAAAGTAATTAAAGATATTTTTCTGTTTTATTTTAGCTTCTGAATGATATATTTTTGTCCAGCAGGTGGTTAAATGACTGGCTCAAACCGCCCTCCTGTTGTGACATAATCCAACATGGCGGCCACCGTTGGCAGACTTCTCCGCACCTCTGTGAGTAAATGTCCTGGTTTCTTCTATCTCAGGCCGTCTATCCGCTCTGTTTCACCACAGTTCACAGCTCAAAAGACGAGAATAAATGCATGTGAGCAGAAATTATAGATAAATGTTTGTTTTACGTCAGAAATGCGTCCATGACCTGCGTAAGAGCATATTTAACTCTAGGCTGCCAACCCCTGGCACGCGGGCCCCCCATGGACCCCAACACTGAAGACACATTTAATATGATTACTTTTTAGGGATTACTTCATACAGATATATGTATATATGTATATGTATGTTATGTCTGTGTTGGAAAAATACTTCTTTGCATTTATAAACTGTATGTATCAAAGAAAAAGAAAATTCAATAAAAATGACAGTGATTAAATATATTATGATTAAATTTACAGTTAGAAAAGTTTTTCTTAATGTGCAGTATAGTTTGCATGATGGCCAGTGTTTATAAGCAAAGCATTAAAATAATTTTCTTATGATGAGATGTTTTAAAAAAAGTTTAATATTAAAGTGATATTTTATATTCTTTACATTACCATGACACATGATCAAAGGTCTTACTTTTAAGATTATTAGAAATATGCCATGAAGGCAATTAAATGTCAGATTATTTCTCACTACTTTGATTCCCATGAAAAGTCATCAAAAAAATCATTATTTTTTTATATTTGAACTTTTTTGCTTGCTTGAAATTGAAATAATGCATTGTTAACCATTTATTCTAGTACGTCATTCAATCAAAAGTCAAGTTTTTTGTTGTTAGACATTATATTTTAGTGTTAAAAAATTAAGAGCCCATTGTAACATGAAACAAAAAAAAATACATTCTAAGAAATAAAATAACTGAATCAATCAAAGCTGAAATTAGTAGGCGAAACGTCACAGAAATTTGCATCGATTTAAGAAAAAATAAAAGAAAAAAAGAGGTCTTTAAAGTTATGAAAATTGCAGAGAAGTACTGATACTATTGGCTGTTTTTAATGTTATATTTATATATATTTGAGGATTGAGACCAGGCACAGCATGCTACCCCACTCATCGGCCCTTTAGCACAGTTTACTTTGACACTTTTGTAAATATCTGATGCCATCTTGATTTTTTTTTAAGCTATTTACTTTTTTCATATAAAGAGGTTGACTTGTGCAATGTCTCGAACATTCGTTCCTTAATGTTATCAGCGGGGATTTCTTAAAACCCAATCAGCAATGGCAAATGAAAAGCTGCTTTAGGAGGCATCGCCAGCTGGTAATTACAAATCCCATAATTGGGGCCAGAATGGCGGCTGCAGAAAAGCTGAGGGCGGATCTCTGAGATATCTCTAATGAAAAGAAATTAGAAAACTTTCACAGTGGAAGGTCGTGGATACTGTTGTTCCAGTTCTTCTAAATGATATATTTCTGATTCATTTATTTTGTTAACGTTCGTTATTATTTTGTAGGTACGGGCTGCAGCTGGAGGGCTGAAAGTTGCAGCTGCTTGTCAACATGGAGCTGGTGGCACTGCAAGGGTTCTTTCTGCTGCTGCCCTTCAGAGATCCAGTTTCTGCACCAGTATGTATCCCACCTCTCCCAGTTTTCAAAAACAAATATTAATCTGCTACTGAAAAACTTGAATTATTATTATTATTATTTTTTTTAATCTATCAAGTTTTGCACGAGCAGTGCAAAAACATTTTTTGTTTGTTTTTGCACTGCTGTGAACTTCCATGTCAATGTGTTTTTTTTTTTTTTTTTTTTTTTGCATCATGTTTTTCTCATACACCGTTTACATTTGATCACTACGGAAGAGGATAAGAGCCACTGGGAAAAAAAAAAAAAAAGTTAACTGATTTTTAAATTTCATTTCAGTTTAACATGGGAAAAAAAGTCAGAATTCTGACTTTTTTTCTCAGAATTCAGAGATTAAAGTCAGAATTTTGACTTTAAAGGGATAGTTCGGGATTTTTGACATGAATCTGTATGGCATCCCCATCACCAGTGTCATGCAATCCCACTGACTTACCCCTGGCAGCATCCTGTGAGCAGAGTTCTCGTCCAGCTTTGGTCAAGCCGAAAGTAGTCCGGCAGGTTTGCTAGACCCAGCGAAATAAAACGTTTCTCTTCCCAAAACATTATGTGTTCAAAAGAGTGATATTTTTGCATCCCAAAAACATTGTAGTGGAAAAAGTCACACGTCGTTATCACTTGGTCCTATTTTCTCTCTGTTCGTATCAGTGCGCGCGACACCATGACCTGACAGCTAGGGCCTACCTGTTTGATTCGCGATTGTTTACTACTGGGGAAGATGTCTGACTACGAGAGCGACGAGGAAAACATCGACTTCCACTTAGTGCCAAAGGGATATCTTTATGAACCCGAGTACACTGACGATGAACTTCGACAAATGGAGTTAGATCGGGCAGAAAGAGAGAGGGTGGATAGAGAAGTGATGGAAGCTGAAGCCGGAGCTGCAGGAGCCTCAGCTGGAGCTGCGATATCCAGGGTGGCCGACAAATCATGGTGCACTTGTTTCAAGTGCGAATTAATGCAGACAGAGGTGGAATGCTACTGTTGCCCGAGATACAGAACCTTTCCATTGATGAGGATGTCGGAGTTGCAGCAGCTGCTGTCAGAATGACGGCGCGCACTGATACGAACAGAGAGAAAATAGGACCAAGTGATAACGACGTGTGACTTTTTCCACTACAATGTTTTTGGGATGCAAAAATATCACTCTTTTGAACACATAATGTTTTGGGAAGAGAAACTTTTTATTTCGCTGGGTCTAGCAAACCTGCTGGACTACTTTCGGCTTGACCAAAGCTGGACGAGAACTCTGCTCACAGGACGCTGCCAGGGGTAAGTCAGTGGGATTGCATGACACTGGTGATGGGGATGCCATACAGATTCATGTCAAAAATCCCGAACTATCCCTTTAATCTCTGAATTCTGACAATAAAAAAAGTCAGAATTCTGACATTAAAGTCAGAATTCTGACTTTTTCCCCATACTATACTGAAATAAAATAAAAAATCAGTTAACTTTTTTTTTTTTCAGTGGCCCTAATCCTCTTCCGTAGATCACTGCTGCATTATATGGAATGGAAATGTTCCTTTCCCCTGCTAAGCTGCTGCTCATATTAACTTTCTAAAAGCTGTATTAACCTAATTTAGTTTTATATACACTCTCTGTATACAAAATAACAATAAATTCTCTACGTCTAAGAAAATTAGATGAGCAGAAATATTGAACTTTTTTTTTATTTTTTTTATCAAAACTTGTCTTTATTCTTCATAAGCCATCCTGATGGTTAAACTGCCACAGATATCATAATCCAGTTAGATGCTTCAGCTGTTCAGTAGTAGCAAAATGTAGAGAAACTTACTTTTTTATTTAAAATGACCACCTTGTAAAGGGCTTTTTTCCCCTGGAGATGTTTTGATACCTCCAGGAGTCTCCTGGATAGGCATGAAAACGTCTAAAGAAATGAACTTAAGAAAGGACCGGTTACTTTCCAATTTAAGCCTGTTTTGTGGTTTCCATGACCTGGATGACTGAAAGTTTACCCATGAAATGATCAGAATTCTGCTGGCTTTTTAAAACCAGTGGAATTTATCCCCTTTATATTTGTATTAATTTAAAATATGCTGACAGCTTTGCAGAAGCAATCATGACTTTCATGTAGCTTTTTTCTCCCAGGAAGCTTCTAGATCAGCTTCTCTGATTGGTTTACGCTCAGCATGCATCTGCAAAAGTTAAGATTTTCCAGCTCCAGCGTCGGCCGCTCTAGAGGTGCTCAGCAAGTCATCCAAATGGCAGCATGAAACCTGCAAAAAGGTTTGCTGGAGCGTTCATGTGGATGGGAGCTCTTCTTTTAGGCTCTTTGTGGGCTCAGCCATCAGAGAGGCGACTTGTTTCCTGTGGCTGATTGAAGACCAAACACTCCAATATCCCGAGCATCCAGAGGGTCAGAGTCAGCCTGATTTTATGTATTCATAACTATGTAAAGCAGCATGATCGAGCAAAGGAGGCACCATGAAAGTCCAATGCTCCTGAACCATGACATCCTTCATTGGTTATTAAACGTATTTTAGCTTTATTTTTTCATAAACTGCGGCTGGCTAGCTCAAGTGGTAAATCACCTGAATTCAGGGTTCCCGCGGGTCCTTAAAAAGTCTTAAAAGGCATTGAATTCTTCAAAATAAAACTAAGGCCAAGACCTTTCATGCTAATGCCTACTTTGTAGTTGCTTTGGGAAAAAAGCATCTGTTAAATGCACAAACATATATGTGGAAAAAAACAAAGGTGAAAACTAGGACCGAGAAAATAAACATTATGATTTATATTAATTTACTGCTGTGATTTACCAGCTGCAGAGTTCATATTACAATGTACAACATGTGACGTCTATCATAAAGTCTTTGAATTTAAGGAGTTTTTCTCCTGCTGGAAACATGAAAAAGTTGAGTTATGAAGCATTTTGACCAATTGTAAGGAGATTTTAAGGAGTTTTCCTCAAAGGGTTTGTCTTAAGTTAACCTGCTGTTCATCTGGATAATGGTTTCTACCAAAGAATAACAATTTTATTAGTTTTGTTATTTAGCTGCCATTTTCCTTATTTTGAGTTTTCTAAAATTCTTTATTTTTGTACAACACAGCAAAGACTGTTTAACTTGTATTTATACACCACTTTTTTTTTTAAGTATTTTTATTTCTCTTGTACTAGCTATTCTAAAATGGTGCAAAAATCCTTATCTGTGATTATTTTGATTTTATAAACTGTTTTCTAGCTAGAAGCTGCTGTGCAAGAGGGATTTTTCTATGCATCAGATACTTCAGCTCTTTGCAAATCAAAATTTCTCCGCTGTTTTATTCAAACCTGTCGCTGATTCCAGCCCAAACCGACCAGCGCCTTCCTCTGATGCTTGTCCAAAGAGGAGAACAAAGAGCTGTTGGAGAAATCTACAGCCTCCACTGATTAAACCAGTAAGAGACGTTTGACTTGTGTTTATCAGGCACCTCCAGATGGGCCCCTGCCGTCACTCAGCCGGCTCCTGACTTTAAGGCCACAGCTGTCCACAACGGGGAGTTCAAGGACCTGAGTCTGGCTGACTTCAAGGGCAAATACCTCGTTCTTTTCTTCTACCCGCTGGACTTGTGAGTATTTGAGAGCAACAGATGGATTTTGGATGTAAAGATGCAGAGATGGTGAGAACTTTATAATTCCCTCATCTTTTGCATCACAATTCATCAGATGTTTTAGATATTTTTTAAATTTAAAAACAAGGAACTTGTTTAGGTGTGATCCACACAGAGAATTATTCAGACAGGGTCATATAGACCTTAGAAAATGTTTTGTGTTTAACCGCCTTTACTGAGTTCATCAATCAGGGAAACTGGCCACAGTGACAATAAAAATGTTAAGAAGAAACTAAAGGTTTTAAAATCTATTTATCTCCGTAACGACTGTTGCATACGGCAGTGGTTACCAACCTTTTTTGACTTGTCTACCCCCCTTAGCCAATTTATCATAAAATGAATACCCGCTAGGTCAAATTTTTTATTTTCCAAAAATGGAAAGTACAACTGATGATAAAATGTAAAATATTTTAGTTTCCTTAACTTGAACATGTAATGCTGAGAAATTTAATTAGTTTTAATTTGAATAAAAAATAACATAAATATGTTGCCTGGAAATTAAAGGTACACTATGCAACCGGTGTTGATTTTCCAGCGAGGCTCCCCCCAGAGGGCGAAAGTAAAAGTGCACTGTCGTAAATATGCACAGCTGTTCTCCTGGTTTCTCCGTCAAGCCAGGCGCGGTTGTTTTGAGCTTAGCAGCGAATGACTAATGCTGCGTTCACACTGGACGTAGCTGGCGCGACAGAAGCAGCGAGTTTACATGCAAAGTCAATGGTTGACGCGCGTCAAGGTGCAGCAAAAGGTCCCGCAGCGCGTCTGAGCAGCTGAAGCAGCGCGTCGGGCGCGTTTAATGCTACGTTCGCTTTTATTATCCTGCTGCCTGCAGTTTGGATTATTTAGATGAAAAACACCTACCAGCTGCCGCGGTGAACCGCGAGGAGGCGAGCCGGCCAGAGGCTGCTGATGAAGGGATCCCTTCTGTCAGCGCACCGCTGGTATGTGGGGGTCTGAGCGGCTCCGACAGAAAAAATATTGAAGGCAGGATAATAATCTGAATGAACTGACTGCACCGATTACGTTTTCAGGTGTATTTTCTCACTTAAACACATATTAAAACTACTTTATTCCCACTGATCACAGCAAATATAGCTGCAAGGCAGAGAAAGGATAGTGAAGCTCCGCCCAACGCGCGTCAGACACACTTTTGCACCGCGCAGCCAGAGCAGCAAAGCTGCTTCAGCCGCGCGTCAGAACTAACTGGTACAAGCAGCAAAAATGAAGCAGCAGACGCGATTTTGCTGCTTTTGCTGCGTCCGGTGTGAAAGCAGCGCTGCACAAAGATCGCCACTGTGCTAGCAACGAGCATGCTTTTAACTGGGGGCGTGTAGCAGTTCTCGCCGTAAAGCAAGACTGACTCTCGCGAGACTTCTGAGCCTGTGGGTGCGGGTCGGTGCTCCTGCAGTTGCAAGTGCGGTGTTTCCCCCACAGACCACCAGGGCGGCCGAGAAAACCTTTGTTCAACCTGAAATGACTCATTTAATCATCCAAAACGATATGGAACACATTAATTAACTGAAACATGTTGCATAGTGTGCCATTAAGTACTGAAACAAATACAAAATAAAAAAAATAGAGCACTTCTGATAAAGTACCTTATACACACATCTAAACTTGACCAATCAGGAAAAAAATTAACAAAATAATATTGAAATTCACTTTCATTTTTACTTTGTTTTCATCGTTTGCTGTGTGTTAATGAAACACTTCACCTCTTCTGATCTTTCTCTTGGCCCCTGCGTCCCCGCTCTCGCTTGCAGAGAACTAGTGCAGGTGCACAGCGCTAATTCCCACTTTAGCCTTTCATGTAAATGTTGGTTAGGACATTTTCTTTTTATCTTTTTAATTCATTTAATTTTGCATCTGGGTCCTTAAAGAGCAAAACACACCCCACCCCTATGTTATTGTATTTCTTGTATCTGGGAAGTAAAGTATTTATTGTTTTCACGTACCCCCTGCAATGCATTGATTGACCAGTTTGGGTAATAGTGCCCCTGGTTGGAAATCATTGGCATACGGCAGAGGTAACCAATTAATAATCAGCATCCGATTAAAGAAAATAATCAACCCGTAAAGCGCCGGAGACATTTTTAATTGTAATCCGTCACTCTAAACAAAATTTAACACTGAAATAAAATTTAGGCATTTATGCATCCATGTTATACATTTAATTTTTTTATTAAAAAATATAAAGGAATAGAACATTTTCCCATTTTAAAATCTAAATTGTTTTTGAAGTAGAGAACAACAATCATTCAGTTTGGTATATAGACAATTTCCTGATTCACATATTTTATAAAAAACCTGAACTGAATTTTATTACTTTTTTTCTGTCTTAATGTTGGCAGTGGGCTTTAGGCTGCCCTGCAAGGCTTTAAACCTGGGTTTGAATGGAGACTAAGCCATTCTAAAGCACATATCAAGGAGCTCATTCTGAGCCTGGATCCAGATTTATTGTTGAATCTGTTCATGGTGGAGAATCCTGCTTCACAGCAGCAGGTTGAGCCAAACATCCTCTAAATGTGCAGGGTCATCTTTGAGCACCATTTCACTTTTCTTTCACCGGTTCACCGCAGTTCTTCCAGCAGTCCACACATTCTCTGCTCTCTTTTTCTCATCGTCTTCTCCTTCTTTCCCATCGCCCGGCTTGTCGCAGGTTTGCCTGCTGTGTCTAAAAGTAGCAGCAGCAGCAACCCAGACTGAAAGCAGCTCATTGGCTCATTTGGATCATGTGTAGTCTGGTTCCGGACGCTCTGGAGGGCTTTTACCGTATTAACAGGAGAAACGGCGCAAGTCGCATTTAGACACTGTCGTCGGACAACATGCGGTAATTCAGGTTTTAAATCCGGTTGGGTCCGTGACCTCTGGCATACGGTGTCGGCAGCATCATTCTGAGGGTCTGTTTCATTGCTACCAGTGCATTGCACTAAGCAGATTAGGTACAGCGGGAGAACGTTGACTTTTACCTCAAATCGACATGGAGAGATGAGTTAGGATCTTAAAGGATCTTAAAGAGGCTTCTGTTCTCTTTGTCTCTGCAGTACGTTTGTTTGCCCGACGGAGATCATTTCGTTCAGCGACAAGGCCAGCGAGTTTCACGACATCAACTGCGAGGTGGTGGGAGTGTCTGTGGATTCTCACTTCACCCACCTGGCCTGGATCAACACGCCACGAAAGGTGAACACAATCATTCCAAAAAAAAACAAGAGCAAAGCTTGATTCAGTGTTGGACTGTAGAATGTTTGAGGGATTTCATGTGAAATGCAGGTACAGGTGCTGGTCATAAAATTAGAATATCATGAAAAAGTAGATTGATTTCAGTAATTCCATTTAAAAAGTGAAACTTGTATATTATATTCATACATTACATACAAACTCATATATTTCAGATGTTTATTTTGTTTAATTTTGATGATTACAAATGACAACAAATGAAAATCTCAAATTCATCATATCAGAAAATTAGAATATTGTGAAAAGGTTCAAAATTGATGGCCCCTGGTGCCACACTCTAATCAGCTAATTAACTCAAACCACCTGCAAAAGCCTTTAAATGGTCTTTCAGTCTAGTTCTATAGGCTACACAATCATGGGGAAGACTGCTGACTTGACAGTTGTCCAAAAGACGACCATCGACACCTTGCACAAGGAGGGCAAGACACAAAAGGTCATCGCTAAAGAGGCTGGCTGTTCACAGAGCTCAGTGTCCAAGCACATTAATAGAGAGGCGAAGGGAAGGAAAAGATGTGGTCGAAAAAAGTGTACAAGCAAGAGAGATAACCGCACCCTGGAGAGGATTGTGAAACAAAACCCATTCAAAAATGTGGGGGAGATTCACAAAGAGTGGACTGCAGCTGGAGTGAGTGCTTCAAGAACCACCACACACAGACGTATGAAAGACATGGGTTTCTGCTGTCGCATTCCTTGTGTCAAGCCACTCTTGAACCACAGACAGCGTCAGAAGCGTCTTGCCTGGGCTAAAGAGAAACAGGACTGGACTGCTGGTGAGTGGTCCAAAGTCATGTTCTCTGATGAAAGTAAATTTTGCATTTCCTTTGGAAATCAAGGTCCCAGAGTCTGGAGGAAAAGAAGAGAGGCACTTCATCCACGTTGCTTGAAGTCCAGTGTAAAGTTTCCACAGTCAGTGATGGTTTGGGGTGCCATGTCATCTGCTGGTGTTGGTCCATTGTGTTTTCTGAGGTCCAGGGTCAACGCAGCCACATACCAGGAAGTTTTAGAGCACTTCATGCTTCCTGCAGCTGACCAACTTTTTGGAGATGCAGATTTCATTTTCCAACAGGACTTGGCACCTGCACACAGTGCCAAAGCTACCAGTACCTGGTTGAAGGACCATGGTATCCCTGTTCTTAATTGGCCAGCAAACTCTCCTGACCTTAACCCCATAGAAAATCTATGGGGTATTGTGAAGAAGAAGATGCAATACACCAGACCCAACAATTCAGAAGAGCTAAAAGCCACTATTAGAGCAACCTGGGCTATCATAACACCTGAGCAGTGCCACAGACTGATCGACTCCATGCCACGCCGCATTGCTGCAGTAATACAGGCCAAAGGAGGCCCAACTAAATACTGAGTGCTGTACATGCTCATACTTTTCATGTTCATACTTTTCAGTTGGCCAACATTTCTATAAATCCTTTGTTTTTATTGGTCTTCAGTAATATTCTAATTTTCTGATATGATGAATTTGAGATTTTCATTTGTTGTCATTTGTAATCATCAAAATTAAACAAAATAAACATCTGAAATATATGAGTTTGTATGTAATGTATGAATATAATATACAAGTTTCACTTTTTAAATGGAATTACTGAAATCAATCTACTTTTTCATGATATTCTAATTTTATGACCAGCACCTGTAAATCTTTCAGAAAAAGGTTTTAAGATTACCCACAGCCCAGGATGGAAAGAATTCAACTGGAAATTAAGAATGAGATGTTTTAAAACTCCTTTTAGTATCTCAAAATATTACAGACATGTCTCAAATTTATGCTGGAGGAACTGTAATCAGATTGGGGACCACACTCACATTTTTTGGAACTGTCCAGTACTGATTCCCATTTTGGCAAGGGAGCCAGACAGAAATTAAAAGAATACTTATGTTTGCTTTACCACTGAACCCGCTGTACTGTATATTAGGCTTGATCCCAAAAGAAAATATTGGGAAAAGGGAAGCCCAATTACTACAGATTCTGCTATTAGTAGCATGGAAAATGATAACTCTGTCTTGGCTTAAACCTCTGCCCCCAACCCTTCAACAACGGCAAGAAAGGGTGAAGAATGGGTATAAAATGGAGAAGATGACAGCATAACTTCATGTGAAAATGGACATATTCTTGGAAGTGTGGGCCCCAGCTATTGACTACTTCGGATGGCCACACAGATAAAGAGCCTCATATGCTAAAAAAATTATATCAGGGCCGGTTGTTTATATTTCCCCTCTTTTATGGTACACTAGACATAGACACCTCCCGTTTGTGGGAGCTAATGAAGACCCCTCTAAGAACTGTCAGTTGCTGAAACGGATTCGAATGTTTGCTGAGTCCCATTCCTTTTTACTTTATTTATTTTATTGTATTTTATTTTTTCTCCACTACTTTTGGGTTTGATGTTCTCTGTAGTTGCATATATGAAGATACCTTTGTATATATGTTGGATTTATTACATTCTTAAATAAAGAATGTAAAAAAAGAAATGCAGGTAAATCTGGATCTGCAGCTGTATGTCTGTGTTAAAGGTTAATGTTTCGGGTTTGATTTTCCAGGCTGGAGGTTTAGGACATATCCACATCCCTCTACTGTCAGACCTCAACAAGCAGATCTCCAGGGACTACGGGGTGCTTCTGGAGGGCCCGGGCATCGCACTGAGGTTAGGACGTCCAATCCTATTAATTTAAATATACATCCTAAGTTTGATCAGGGTTCCCACGGGTCCTTAAAAAGTCTAAAACTGCATTTTATTCTTCTAAATAAAATTAAGGCCTTAATTGGTATTAAAATGTCTTAAATCAGTCTTTCGTACGTCTTAATTTTTAAAACATCATAAATAGGATTTTTTTTATTACGATTTATTTTTGTAATCTAAATAAAACGTTATAATTGACCTTGTTTTATTTTATTTAAAAAAATAACGGTTCGCCATTATTGGTTCCGTCCCGATAGCGGAACCAATAAAAGCGTTGTTGCGGCCGGGACATTTGGGAGATGCACCATTAACTTTTTGTCTGGAAAATATGAGCAAGTGTAAATGTAACCAAAATTGTCTCCAGCCAAGAGTTTTCTCCACGGCTAAAACCAGGGAACATACATGAGGAACAGTGGATTTAGTGCAAGAAGTCATTCAAGCTCAGAACAATGGGAATTAAGGCAGTGGAGTCGCACATGCGAAGCACGAAACACAAAGCGTCAAAATGGAGTTACAGAGAAACAGCCGGTATTTCTCAGTTTAGTTCCACCCTTGTCTCTGCAACGCCTCCACTTATCACCAAATCAAACATACTAAGAAAACCATACAAAGAAAAATAGCTGCAAAAAAGACTTAGCACTGGTTATGTTGGGGCTTTAAAACTGATTTGTTTTGTTCCCTGCTAAAACAAAGTTTGTGAATTCAGTTCAATAATTGTTCAAATATATCTGTCATTTGTGTGTTTTTAGCTTTCTTCCTGTATGGGAAGCTTTTAAAATTTGAAACATTAGTGCAGTGGTTTATGTTAAAATAAACCTTTGGGTTAAGTTGTCGCAAGCAGGTTTTTCTTGTGTTTCTTGTGAATTTGGTCTTACATTTTTATTTCAAGTGGCATTAAAAAGTCTTAAAAAGTCTTGAATTTAACTTGCCTTATGCTGTAGGAACCCATATTGCAATGGTGTCTCTAAACGTGTAAAGCTGATAAATGAGATTTTCTTCAACATATGGCTCCACAAAGTTTTAACAGCGTCTGTATGCTAGGATACAATCGCAATACACCCCTACTTTCACCCACTGCCCACACACGCAGCAGTGGTTAGGACTTAACAATCTTCAGTAGGAATTAGGTACATAAAGGACGGTGTATTTACTACACATGCGTCAGATATGTGCCACCATGAAAGAGGAGACAAAGCTTTTTTTTTTTTTTTTTTTCTCATTAAAACAACCACCATTGAGTCTGAAATTGTAGAAAGGGATTTAATTTGAGCTCGGTTAACTATCGTTTTCCTTTATTAGGTATGATTAGTCTTTAAAAGTGATTATTAAACCTGGCTGACATTTTTGTGTGTAATAAATATACTAATAACCATGTCAGCATCTGAAATTTCTCCTTTTTAAAGGAAAAGTTCAGTCGGCATAGAATGATCAATGGGTCAATATTTATACCTAAAACTAATACGTTCGCGATGATTTAATGAATTTAGCGTTAATCAGTAAAAAAATAAAAATAATAATTTTGGTCGTGATCACAGAGTCCTGGAGCGGCCATTTTTGCCCAAATGTAGTAACCCCTCCCTCCTGCCATCTTCCAGCAGTGACGTCACGGTGCGGTAAGCCTAGCGCCATTCTACCCGCTTTACAAGCAAAATCAATGGGAACTACTAGACACATCTGCAATCAGTAACAATTATTGGAAGATTCCCAGAGGACTTCACCATTGGGGTAAAAAAAAAACGATTTTGGATCGATTCCTTTACATCTTTGCAAAATCGATCTCTAGGGAATGAGATCGATTAGTTAGTGACGTGCGTGACGTTCACATTCAAATTAGCAGGAAAGATGCACTCAAGATTACTTCAAGCCAGACAGCTGCAAATATAGTCAATAGGTCGACTGAAGACATTAACAAATGGGGGCTGACCAGAAAAAACCCTGTAGTTGTTACAGATAACGCTGCAAATACGGTTTGTGCAGTGAAGATAATGCAGCTCGCAGCTGCAGTGGTTATTATCGCAGCTGCGATTGAGGCTTCACTTTTTCACTTTTCACAAATAAGTTTGCAGTTTTGAGACATTTTTGTTCACATCTCAAGTTTAAACTGTCTGATTTACAAGTTTGCACTTGGTGTTTAATATGACAGGAAAAAAATAAAATACTTAAACATTTTTGAAATGCAGTTGAACCACTTTCATTATTGTAAAAACAGATTGAATCGATTTAGAACTGTATTAATCAAAATATAATTTGAGACTTTTGCGAAAATACCCAGCCCTATTCACCATTGAAATTCGCCAGAGCTATAGTGAAACTGACAATGCCCACGTGCATGGCAGCTGGATGCTGGAATACATTGGGTAAAAGTGAAAAAAAAGAGTTAATTGACCTTCTCGATTCCTGATCCTCCACGGACGGGTTGGTCGTTGGATCGCCAACTTGAAGAGGGAGGATTTGCCATCGAACTTCTGGCCAGAGAAAAAACCTGTAATATGTAGCCAACATTTAGAAGAAGAATGTTTTCCAGATGACTTGGATAATAGCGCGTTGTGACAAACACCAGATACAGCACTGGGACTTGATCAACAGCCGATACCGCACCGTGACGTCACAAACCAGTAGGTGGCAGTAGTGTTCTTTGACAAACATGGATGCCTCCAGGAAAGCGCATTCAAATGAAATTACTCTTAATTAAAAACACTTAGCATTTATTGAACAGGATGTAATAATTTCACGTTTAAAGTACTTTCAGAAGTTTGAATTCTGAATATGACCTTTTCTTTTAAGGGGCCAGATTTATGCCCTCTACCCCTTATGTCCATTAGTTCTACATACAAAGGGGAATTGGGACATCACTACCCTCTAAGGAATGCACAAAATGAAGGGGTCAGCTTAAAAAGTATTGCTATTGTGTTTGTCTACATAACACACTCAGCTATGTAGGTGTGATTTCGAAAGTCAAAGGGTTAAATAAAAAAAAATAAAAAAAACTTCTTTAAGGTTATTACAGAATGCCAGCTGTCTTCCATTAACCTGCCATTTGTGCTTCAGGGGCTTGTTCATCATTGACCCAAACGGCGTGGTGAAACACATGAGTGTGAACGACCTGCCGGTCGGACGCTGCGTTGAAGAGACCCTGCGTTTGGTGAGGGCGTTCCAGTTCGTCGAGACGCACGGGGAGGTTTGTCCGGCCAGCTGGACCCCGGAGTCTCCAACGGTGAGTATCAGAGAACGCACCAAAAAATGATGCTGTTGCCTCCAGCTTCATCCGATTTATTATTGCGAAACGCTTCGATTTTCCTCTCATTTGCAAAAACTGGAGTTTTTGGATTATTTAACTGGACCTGAAGGTTGGAGGTGTTTTAATTAGCGGTGTCCTCATACAACTTTTTCCATTTCTGATTGGATATTGACCTGATACAATATCGGCATGACTCGTGTATAGTTTTATTACTTAAAGCTACAGTGTGTAATAATTACAGGGATATAAAGTCAGAAATTTAATATATTATACATAACTATGTTATTTATCATCACCTACGAGCTCAGCCTTTTAACCATAATATTTGCGTTGCCTTAGAATTCGTTATTTATAATTACATAGGAGCGGGTCTCGCAGCCATGGGGGCAGACATCTTTGCGCTACGGCAAGCGCAGAGGCAACAAACTAGCGATTGCGAGATCTCCCATTACGCTCGAAAATAACTACGGCAAGTTGAGAGAGATTAACTGAGACGGTACTGAACAGTAGATGGCAGTATTATGCCTGAGAAGCGTTTAGTCTGCCTGAAACCAAAGAAGAAGAAGAAGCAGGTATACTGCGCCTCAGTAACAAGAAAGGTGAACAAGGCGGCAGGCGTGAGTGACTTTGCAAACTGTTTGGCACTGTGTGGCCAAACATCAGACGAATGGAGGATCATGCCTACTCTGTATCACAACGAAAAGCGGCGGACACCGAACCCCCGTCATCTAAGAAGCGGAAACACGACGAGAATAAACGCAAGCGTGAGAAGAAACGGCAAAAAACACGGATCAACATTGGCACGGCATTTACACGATGGAAGTCACTGATGGAGGAAAAAGGTTTTCAAAGTGACGCTCAAGTTGCCAGTTTTCTCTTGGACAGGTAATTAATCCTACACACACAATTGTCTAATATCACTGCAGTTTTTGGAGTACAGGATGCTCAGACCTGTCTAAAACAATAACATGCTGCGTGATGATGCTGTTACTCTCCAGTATACTTATTCAGCAACGTCCCTGACGTTTCACAGGTAATGATTCAGTAATTTTCTGTAAAATAATTTTCTGGATATATACCTCGGTTACTTCTCTCCGGCTCCTTTGGAGATCTTCAAGCCTTTCCTCCTCTGCTCTAGTCACCCCGCTGGCACCCCTCCCTCGCCTGGCCCTAGCTGCACGCCCTCGCCCTCTTCCTCTCCCTCTTCCTCGCCTTGTAACCCCCGTGCCACAAACAAGACTTGGACTCTGTAAACGGGGAATATATATTCTTCTAGCGAACACAATCTCGCTGTTAAACTAATGACTACAATTCCTTCGTCTGTTTATATCACCATGCAAAGCAGCTCACCAAAATGTCACAACGACGTAGAAAAAATAACGGGTATATTTATTATCTAAAGTCTACATGAAATCTATACCCTACACAGACTAATGAAATACTATCTGTAAAATTATCTATGTAAACAAACCTCATCACTTGAGAAGGTAGGTGATTCCGACGTCGTGGAAGACATTTTGTCCCGTAACGCTCGCCGTACTGTTGGGGGGGAGAAGCGGTGGGGGGGAGATGTTCATGTTGCTGCGGTCTGCAGTCTGGACGTTAGATGTCGCTGAAAATTACACACTGTAGCTTTAATTAAGCCTTTTCTATCATCCCACCCTATTAAATAAAACAAGAGATATTTCTTATTCTCCAGAGTTAATTAAACTTTAAAGAAAATCAAGTGTTAGTGAGCTTTCCCATACCATAAATTTTAAAGGGAGAATCAGAATCAGAAATACTTTAATAATCCCAGAGGGAAAATTACGATCTGTTCGGATATACATTTTTTGGCTGATCCCAGACTAATTTCATTTATCAGTATTGTATTGCACATCCGTAGTTTGAATCTTTTTGAAAGCCAAACTTGAGCCCGAAATTTCTTCTTTTTTTTTTGTGTGTGTCGTCATATGCCTTCAGCATAGGCCTGCCCCCTATAGAAAAAACAAAAAGAGAAGCTGCAACTGTATCGTCAACCTAGCGACTTTGTTGCTATATTTAGCTGCTTTTTAGACCCTCTGGTGACTTTTTTTTTTTTTTTCTTTTCTCAAAAAAGTCACTTGTGACTTTTTTCCTGTCTTGTTGTTTTTCAAATTTGTCATTTGGGCCACAAACTTGGTCACTACAAATGGTTAGGATCTTCTTAAATCTGCTATTTATAAGCCAACTATCAGGTTCATTTCAGACATGAAATGATATTTTTGGTTGTCTGTAGGATCTAATTTAGAGGAGTTAATATTTCCTCATCTTTAGCATTAACTCGAGGACTTTTAAACCTGCTGGTCCAAAACGGTCTGCTATCTGAAACCAAAACACCAGATAAGTTTAATTTGCAACAGTACCATGTTGTTAGTTTCCTAAAGGCCGCTAAACCTGTTGCTTTAAGCTTTTAATAAGCTGAGTTCATTACTTTGTATGTTAGCAGATCCTGCTAACTTGTATTTTCTAGTTCATGCTTATGTGAGGATGTTCTAATGGAGAGCATTATGCAGTGGAAATGAACTGCATAAGAGCTTCGATGTGTTTAATATGATGATTTCATGCAACACACCCTGATGACTCTATTCCTTCAGTTATGCATCTAATTCTGTAGCAAAAGCGGCAAGAAAACATCTGCTTTGTGTTTTTAGTAAATCAAAACCACTGTTTGGTTTATCATATAACAAATTCTTATCAGTTCTTTATTTGTAAAACCTTTTTTTTTTTTTTTTAAACATGATGCAACATGGTACGGACCCTTTGTTTTAATGTAAATGTCCTCAACAGCTGAATCATTTCGCCCAAAATTTAAATAAATTTTTTCTTGCATTAGCCACAATCTTGCCTTTTTCACTCCAGGATTTCTGTTTTTCACAGCTTTTTTTGTCAATAGTCAAAGGACTTTACTATAACCTGGTGCTCACTATCGTGCATGGATCTGTGCGCTAGCTGAAACTCTCCATACTCCATTTTGCTACATTGGAAATGCAATTAATGAAAGCAGGACCTAATTTCCAGGTCGGTTACACATAGTGAGGAAAATTGTCATCATAGCTGCATGTCCATTGTAAAAAAAAAAAAAAAAAAAATTGCTATACCTTCAATGAAAATTACAGACGCCTCCATGATTTCTAAGTGGGAGAACTTACAAAATAGGGGGGTGTTGGTTTTCCTCACTTTAACTGGACTGGTTTGTTATTTTCCTTCTGCAGCAGGTCAAGGTATGGATACAAACATCTGTAAAATAAACATTTTAGGAGGAAGGAAAAACCAGGCTTGAGTGTGGTTGCTGCTGCAGCCCCTGAGAGGGAACCATGTTCCTCAGTTCCACCTGCAGAAACCTTTAAACTCTAGACAGTGAGACTGGAATAGGTCCCCATTGTTCTTTGGCACCTGCGATGGACTGGCGACCTGTCCAGGGTGGACCCCGCCTCTCGCCCATTGACAGTTGGAGATAGGCACAAGCACCCCTCGCGACCCAACTCAGGACAAGCGTGTCAGATAATGAATGGATGTTCTTTGGCACATTTCTTAAGTTGATTCATGTTAGAGAAGCTAAGCAGCTATGTGTTGGCGTTAACTCTGACCTTTGATTGGACTGTTCTACATTCACTGTAGCTCTGCAGGCTGGAATGTGAACTAGTTCTGCTCTCTTTAGCTGTTTTTTTTATTTTGGAAAGTCCTGAATCCATGTCTGCTAAAGAAAAACATCCCCACAGCATGGTCCTGCCACCACCTTGTTTATTAGGGATGGAACGGTTTATGAAAACCGTCCGAACCGTTCGATTCACGTGTGTTGCATTCGGTTCATGCGCTGCTCCTTTTTGGTCATAGGCGAGGCGTTTACACTCCAGAGCAGAAGGTGGCGGTACTGCGACCAAAGCCAACCACCAGTAGTAAACAAGAAGAAGCAGTGTAGCCGGGTGTAGCAGAAAAAAATCAGCTGTTGTGGAGAATTGTGTGGGTATGGCGAGTGGGAAAGAACAGGAGTTGGAAGACGCGCCAGCAGCACTTTATAGGTCTGCTGTATGGGACCACTTTGCATTTAGAGTGACCTACGATGACGTACCAGACCACCTGCACAAAGCAAAGCCTACAGCCTCCGCTGTGGCTCCCGTCCGCTCCGAGTCCCTTGGAGATCATAGAGGGCATGCGCCAGATGATTAAATTCAAAGGAGCAAAACATGCGGAAATGATCCATGGATCATTAAAAATTATTCCAATTCATTTTTTTTTTTCATTAATTTCATTATTTTTTTTATGGGATTTCAGGGTAACAATCAACATATACCGAACTTAAAACCATGACCACGAAACCGTAAACCGAACCGTGGATTTTGTGAACAGTTCCACCCCTAATATACATCCACTGTAGTTCTGCTCTCTTTAGCTAGTTTTATTTAGGAAAAGTCCCGATTCAACGCCTGCTAAAGAAAAACATCCCCACCGTGTTTATGTGCATAGTGTGTCCACACTATGCACATAAACACGGTGGTGGCAGGACCATGGTAGGTACTAAGGATTTAAAATTGACTAATTACCTTATAGAAACCTGGTCTCATAAGATCAAACAGTATTTGAACAAATTGTTTTCCTATACGCCTCAGTTATACAATATAAATCATTGGTGTCTCATTCTTATTTCCTTCCTTTTCAGATCAAACCAACCCCTGAAGGATCAAAGGAGTACTTCGAGAAGGTCAACTGAGTTCACAACAGCCTGAAAGTAGAGACGATTAAAGCCTCTGATCTTAGTTTGCAGTTCACTAATAAATCCTTTGGACCATTTTGTGTTTTCTACCTCTTTGATTTTAATTTTAAGTCGCACTATGATGCACCGTCTACAGATAATAAACACACTGAATGACCCCTGTACATAAACATGTTTATTTTCTTTTTACAGCGAGTTAATATGCAGGTTCAAAATGTCTGACATTGGTACACAACATGAAGTGCCAAAATCAACCAGAGTGGGAGAGAACTGGAAATTAGAAAAAAAAAAAAAAAAAGGCGTTTGCCACTTCTCATACAAGTAGGGTACATACTGTATTTACAGAAAAATGATGGTGGGGGGGCATCAGAAACACTCTGCAGCACAGTGTGGTGATGAAAACATCTAGTTTTAGGTGTACATAAACTTTACTTTGTACAGTATGTTTGCAAAAAAACGACGCATCGCCTTGTTCCTTCAGATAAAATGAACGCCAGCTTTATCCCAAAAAAAAACAAAAAGCCCTAAAAACAAACGAAGTGGAAAAAAAATTTGATTTTGTTTTAAAAACGGAAGAATGGAGGCAGATGAGATGGTTTTAACGTGAAAACTTCATGCAGTTTCAGGCGAGCCGTTGCAGCGCCCACCGGCCCCCACCCCAAGCACCGAACTAAGAAAAAAAAAACGAAAGGATTCATTTAAAAAGAAAAAAAACGCACCCTGTAGTAAAACTGTACAACGAAAATACATCTGGGTCCTACATCTAAAGGTACATTATCAAGGTTATATACACGCCACCCCATCCATATATTATCTTTACATGTAGACTTAATTCAACCCAAACATTTAGAAAACAAGACTAAACCTGGAAATGGGATCACATCAAACAGCCATTTTAAAAAAAGAAATCAGTTCTTGCTGCACCTCGGCTGCTGAAACCCGACAGCGGGACTAAAATCTCAGCGACTGGATGGACCGCTTCCGGAGCAGGAGTTAGACCATCGAAATGAGCCGAGGGGAGGGGGGGGGGGGGGGGGGGGGGGGGGGGGTCAGTGAAAGTAAAAGAAACTACGGTGGAGCAACAACATTTTGGAGCGACTTCCAAGAAAACAGAAATAAGTCGAACCCGGCTCCTGAAAATTCTGACGCAACAGAACCACGGCTTTCTGAACGCTCCGGCCTCTTCACTGAAGAGAGCTATGCTACTCCGTCAATGTACATCGTGTAGTCTCAGCTGGGACTGGGTCGGGAAGGAGGAGTCTGCTTTAAACATTCACCCCAACCTCAATAAAGCAACTGATTTAAAATGAAACCTTGGGTTTAACATCTCCTCAGATTTCCTCTTAAAGACACGGTGTCGTAATTCATTCAGAAAAATGGAGAGAGAAAAGAAGTTTTGTACAAAGAAGTGAGATTCCCACAGTCTCTCTGCAAGAAGGAAAAGAAAGGATGACTTGTGCCTGCCGTCTTTCAGAACACGTAGGTGAATCCATTAACTCCCCGTGTAGCCGCTCTGCTTCTTAGTCGATTTTCACATTTGTGTAGATCTTCCTCACGAAGGCACTTGTTCCCATGTAGCCAACAGCACCTGCGAAGGGATTAAATCATATCAGCTCTTCACTACGCACCGCCGGGTTGTTTCCTGCCGAGGAGACGTAATAAAAGTCTGAGCAGGAGAAAAAGAAAACATGAGCTGAACACGGTGAGCCCAGAAGGCAGCAAACAGGTCCATAAGTCTGCTGTGGCTCATTAGCTCTGCTGCTGCAACAACAGGTCCACCCAGCAGCAGAAACAAACTACTTTAGAGCACAAAGAGGCTCAAAACCAACAGTACACCTCATTCAACATGAGCCGGAAGAACAGGAGATGCCACGCTGAGAGACAAACGTTTTAATAGCTTTTGGATCTCTACGTAAAGCTATTTTAAATGGGGTTAGGAGGAGTATACCTGAGTAGGCAGCGCTCAATTACCAGCAACATTTCAACCCTTTCATAACAGATTGATTGCTTAGGATTTAAAGCAGCAATGTTGACTTTATTGTGGTGGAAAATAATCCGTCGATTATTTTTTTGCTTGATTAATAATTGGAGAGCCAAAGTCTCCTTAAAGAAGGTTTTTAAATAAAATTAAAACAGGTGAAACAAAAACTTTTTCACTTGAGGAGTTCTGGATAGAGCATATTGATGGATGAAAACTTTTTTTTTTTTTTCTTAAATGCAAACTGTTAATATATACATATTTTTTTTACTATTTTGATATCACTGCTCTAAGTGGGTCACTCCGTCAGCTGTGGGGATATTTTGAAGTCTATAATCCAATTAACGACTATTTCAATAATCATTTAATCACAATTAATAATTTGGCTCTAGTGGAAAGTCTCCTTGTCTAAACAATATTTCTGTCGTCTTAAAGGTAGAAGAGTAATGCACTAATTAGTACGGAAGAGGATTAGGGCCACTGAAAAAAAAAAGTTAACTGATTTTTAAGTTTTATTTGAGTTTAGTATGGAAAAAAGGCAGAATTCTGACTTTTGTCCCTCAATTCTGACTTTTTTTCTCAGAATTCTGAGAAAAAAAGTCAGAATTGAGGAAATAAAGTCAGAATTTTGAGGAAATAAAGTCAGAATTTTGAGGAAATAAAGTCAGAATTTTGAGGAAATAAAGTCAGAATTTTGAGGAAATAAAGTCAGAATTTTGAGGAAATAAAGTCAGAATTTTGAGGAAATAAAGTCAGAATTTTGAGGAAATAAAGTCAGAATTTTGAGGAAATACAGTCAGAATTTTGAGGAAATACAGTCAGAATTTTGAGGAAATACAGTCAGAATTTTGAGGAAATACAGTCAGAATTTTGAGGAAATACAGTCAGAATTTTGAGGAAATACAGTCAGAATTTTGAGGAAATACAGTCAGAATTTTGAGGAAATACAGTCAGAACTTTGAGGAAATAAAGTCAGAATTTTGAGGAAATACAGTCAGAATTTTGAGGAAATACAGTCAGAATTTTGAGGAAATAAAGTCAGAACTTTGAGGAAATAAAGTCAGAACTTTGAGGAAATAAAGTCAGAACTTTGAGGAAATAAAGTCAGAACTTTGAGGAAATAAAGTCAGAACTTTGAGGAAATAAAGTCAGAACTTTGAGGGAATAAAGTCAGAACTTTGAGGGAATAAAGTCAGAACTTTGAGGAAATAAAGTCAGAACTTTGAGGAAATAAAGTCAGAACTTTGAGGAAATAAAGTCAGAACTTTGAGGAAATAAAGTCAGAATTTTGAGGAAATAAAGTCAGAACTTTGAGGAAATAAAGTCAGAACTTTGAGGAAATAAAGTCAGAACTTTGAGGAAATAAAGTCAGAACTTTGAGAAAATAAAGTCAGAACTTTGAGGAAATAAAGTCAGAACTTTGAGGAAATAAAGTCAGAACTTTGAGGAAATAAAGTCAGAACTTTGAGAAAATAAAGTCAGAACTTTGAGAAAATAAAGTCAGAACTTTGAGGAATAAAGTCAGAATTTTGAGAAATAAAGTCAGAATTTTGAGGAAATAAAGTCAGAATTTTGAGGAAATAAAGTCAGAATTTTGAGGAAATAAAGTCAGAATTTTGAGGAAATAAAGTCAGAATTAGAATTTTGAGAAAAAAAGTCAGAAGTCTGAGATTAAAGTCAGAATTCCCATACTAAACTGAAATAAAATTAAAAAAATCAGTTAACTTTTTTTTTTCAGTGGCCCTAATCCTCTTCCGTAAATTAGTCTGCTAATAATCTTTCAATTTTATTTTAACTGCATGATGATCGGAGCTACAAAGAGATGATTAAAGTGCGCCTCAAATATCCTCCAAATTACCATTTCTTTTAGTATCTCAAGTGTTTATATTAAGGCATTTATCCTTTTTTTAGTTAAGAAAACACTAAATTACATGATTTATTTTAAGAGGTGTTTTATAAAGATGTGGCCATGGACAGAGCCAAGCCACAGAAAGTCGCTGCTGAGAAAGCTGGCTATTCATCGAGTAGTGTATGCATGCAATTAAATGGAAAGTTAAGTGGGAGGATAAACTGTCACAAAAAGAAGAATTGGGATAAATCCAACTTTAAAAGGATTATAACCAATTTAAACTCTTTGGGGAGATTTGTAAGGCTTCACAGTTCCGATCCTTATTAGCGCCCCCTGCAACAGTCACATGAGTGAAGCCCCTCCTGACTTTCAGGAGTGTTTTCTGTCCTTACCTGGGCTAAGGACAACATTATTGTAATATTGCTCAGTAGTCTAAATTTCTTATTTTAAAATAAAGAAATGTTGCAGTTAAGTAGAAATCAAGACCACAGAGGACAAATAGAAATGCAAAGCACAGAATTTAAACTGATTCTACTCCTGAGTGAATCTTCCATATTTCATGCAAAAGGAGCCCCAGCAAAGCACTGAGTGAATGCACTTTACATTACATGCAAACAGTTTGCTTTGCTGCTCCTTCCATTTGTTTAAATTGTGACTTTTTTGCATTAATTATTGTGTAACTTATGTAAATGGAGGAGGAAAAAATGAAATATCAGCTGTATTAACCGTTGCATTTCTTTGTTGTGGCAGAAGGTTCACCAGCCAGTTTGGTTGTGGCCGTTTTCTCGGAAGCATCTTGCTAACCAGTTAGCATCTTGGTGCTAGTAGGTTCCCAATGGGAAATTCCATTGGGACCAAGTAGCACGTACAAGCGACATCGTCAAGAAACGCTATGGAGTTTTGTGTCAGAGGTCGAGGATGAGTCTCCTCCGAGAAAATTTCTAAATTTTGGGACAATATAGACTGATAAAGAGTACATTTATATACATGTTTAAGCCAGAATGATTTGACATTTAAATGTTATTTCCCTACGACTTTAAGGTGGTCTCTCTCAGCAAAAAAGCTTGAAATAGTTGTTGAAGGACTTGATGTTGCAATCCCTGGTTTTAGAGGTTTCCCTGCTTCAGCACAGCTGATTATGATGATTGCAGTTGAACAAAAGCTTATTAATCAGCTTTCAATTAAAATCATCTGTGCTGGAGCAAGGAAACCTCTAAAGCCTGCATTACAGCAGCCCTCGAGGACGCCTGCTATAAAGCTTTAACATCAGTCATGAACTGGGACCACATGAAGCTGTTTCAAAATTCAGCTTCGACATCAAAATAGTATCTAACGTTAATGAAAGTCTTGGTCACTTTAAATCAGGGTATTCAATTACTTCACTTTGTAATATTTATGCATTTAAATAGGAAAAGAAAAATAATAAAATAGCAGAAACTCACCACACATGATCCCTAGAGCAGTGCTGAACACGGCCATGTAGCCGAAGTAGAAGGATGTTTGAAATAAGCCATACATCCTGAAATACACCAGGAGAAAATATTTCAGAGAGGAACATTTATCACTTACAGCATTTTATCAAGAAAATGAACATAACTCACTTAGTTTTGAAGAAATAGTAGTAAAAGGAGTACATGTAAACATAAACGGCAGTAGATGCAGCGGAGAGGAAGCTCGTCCACTGCCTGGAAAGATGAAACAACAAAATATACATAAACATGTCTGAGAAAATTAAAACCTGCCATCTCAGATCAGATGGGTAGTAGAGACGCTTACCATCTGTAGTCCTCGGCGTTGAGTAGGAAGTACGTGCACACGATGGTGACGCACACGGTGACAATGCACAGGATCACCAGGACCAGCATCATGAAGCCGTACACATAGTAGATTTTATAGGCCCAAAAAGATGTGAAGATGAAGTACCTGATGGTGGTAAGAGAGCGTGTGTGAGAGCCACGTCTGACCAGAGAAACCGCTTCAGTTCCTCAGATAAACAACTTACATCTCTATGAAAATGGAGCCAAAGGGCAGGATACCTCCGAGGCACACGATGACAGCCGGCTCCATGAACCTGAGACAGAACAAGATTCCAATCATTAGGACGGCTGCATTTCCTCCACTGTTATTCCATTCAGGAAGAACATACAAAACAAAAAAAACAAAGGTTTCATTGTAAAATAAACAAACAGAATAAAGCGAAAGATGTGAAGTCAGACATTGTTCCGAGCCACAGCCATCTGTTCTGTTTTAAAGCTGATGTTTCTGTAACAGCAGTTTGTGCCCAGAATCAGCAGGCCGGGAGCAGCGCTGCATTCAGGAAAACTATTTCTATATTGAACGTTTACAAATAATGCTGAACTACATTAGCCTGTGTCATCACAAAGTTAGTACTGGCCACTAAATTACCATGTTTGTGACCAAAACTGCAACTTAATTTCAACTGCAACATTCTCTCCACATTAACCACAACCATAAACACATTTGGCTCTAGAGTTTCATTCACAGCTTTGAATGCAGACCTCGTTTCATTCTGACAGGACTTTGCTGTTGTGTGGAAAATCACATGTAGCCACGCTATCTGCAAATCTTTCGCTCAGCGTGGCGGTAAACCCACTTTAAAGTCGTAGTGAAGCAGCTGTTCCAACCGTTGCATTTCCGAATTCTCCTGGTGGTGCCCAACTTTACACTAGTGAATGTTATTGGTCGTTTATCAAGGGGGTTGGATTATTGTGGCAGAAGGTTTGCAAGGTTTTTGGTTGTGGTCGTTTTCTCGGAAGCATCTTGGTAACCAGTTAGCAACTTAGTGCTAGTAGGTTCCCAATGTGAAATTCCATTCCATTCCATGCAAGAGGAGGAGAGTTTAGTGTCGTTTAGTGTTTCAAAATATTTGAAATTTATTTTGAATTATAAAGAAGGAGAAAAAAGGTCAAATTGCCCAGCCCTAGCTTGTGGCTATAAGAGGATGTAATACGAAGGACGTTAAAGGTTTGTTTGGCTAAAGTAGCCTCTGCTATCTAAACATTAGTTTACATTTTTTAATACATTTACCTTATTTTAATAATTTGTTGTCTCCTCTGAATTATTACTTTTCTTTTTCTTCTTGTGTGCAGCACGTTAAAATGCCACGCTACTGAAATCTGCTACATAAATCTGCCTTGCCTGTTGCAAAGCACAGTAAGCCATGAGCAAATTTCATTAAACGCTTTCCCCAGCTGCACTTTAAATATATTAATGCATTTAGCTCTCTGACTGCCATAACGCGCCCTCCTTCAATACGCTCCACACCCACCATTTCTTCTCGGGGATCGGCCGCGGCACAGCGTTCACTCTGCAGGGGAAGTTGGGTTGACCAGACAGATTTCTTCCCAGGATTGTTCCCACGAGGTTCAGAGGCAGAATGACAAAGAAGCAGATGCAACAGACGGCAACCTGTGGAAGAAAGAAAACGACTTCTGTAGTCGGAGATATATTCCTCGTTCTGTTTACATAAAAACAGCTGAAAGGATTAAAGGGAAGGGGACAGTGATGGTTGCAATGTATGCAAATCAATTCAAGTGACCAGTAGGTAAACTGATTGCCTAAAACTGCTCAATGACATTTAACCTGGACATAGCTATACCTCTGTACATCAGCCTCAAAGCAAACAGCAGAAAAGAAGTCATTACTCCACCAGATGTAGGAAGTAATAGTTTATGCCTCGCCTCCCTACAGAGGAGTGCACATTCACCGTAGCTAGCTGCAGAGTAATCACAGACACAGCAAGGTGCCGACTCCTGACACCATTTTACAAAGCGGCAACAAATCGAGCATCTCCAGCGAAGATGGCCTTTTCATGGAGAAACAACCACGGGGTTAAAACCAGTGCAGAGGACAGAGTAAATGGAGGAGCAGACCGGATGTGAACGGTCCCCGCTGAAACGCTACGGTAATTTAATGGAAGATTAGCTTACAAATATTAAACGCTTGATCAACGCCAGCACTATCCTTTTTAAAACGAATATTTGCAATTTGCAACAATAAAAGTTTAGTTGGGTGATAATGTTTGATTTTAAAGCTAACAAACACTAATGAATACATGACTAGTAACGGACCGTGAAATCATCTGCAGCTGGCACAGTATGCATCAGGCTGGCCTCCCTCTGCTCACATCTTCACTTAAAATGATTTGATTTCTGAAATCTTTTAATTAAGGGGCAGGGTCCAATTCTAATCAGCTGATTTACATAGCAACAAATGTCATACACAACCACTTTATTTCTCTACAGAAATAATCAAATCAATCTGATCTAGGGGTGGAACGGTTTACAAAACCCACGGTTCGGTTCACAGTTCCGTGGTCACGGTTTTCGGTTCGGTACATGTTGACTGTTAGCCTGACATGTTGGGTCATGTTGCTGTTAGCATAAACAAAACGTGTTGCACAATGCTTGCACACTGTTGCACTTTTATCCACAACTTTTTTTCCACCGTCATGCTACGTTCACACCGGACGCAGCAGGAGCAGCAAAATCGCGTCTGCTGCTTCATTTTTGCTGCTTGTACCAGTTTAGTTCTGACGCGCGGCTGAAGCAGCTTTGCTGCTCTGGCTGCACGGTGAAAAAGTGTGTCTGACGCGCGTTGGGCGGAGCTTCTCTATCCTTTCTTTGCCTTGCAGCTATATTTGCTGTGATCAGTGGGAATAAAGTAGTTTTAATATGTTTTTAAGTGAGAAAATCCACCTGAAAACTTAATCATTGCAGTCAGTTCAACCAGATTACCATCCTGCCTTCCAATATTATTTCTGTCGGAGCAGCTTAGACCCCAACATACCAGCGGTGCACACACCCCCATCTGTAAACAGATGGGGGTGTGAATACTTTTGGTAGACATTTTATAACCAATCTAATCGATTCAGAGAAACTAACTTTGCTGACTAGAGAGCTACTGAGCACTGAGTCAAGCAGACTTCCCACAGGATAGTCGTTAGCAACTGCATTGGAGACATTTTTTGTGTGAAATCTGTTTATTATGGCTGAACTATGTTTGTTAACTTACAGTTCATCTTTACTTCTGCTTTTAATCACTGAAATGTTGTAATCTCACTATAATTGGGCTGGGGCGTTTTTCAGACACAGTTGATCCATATTCCTTCTGAGTGTTGCAAGGTTAAGAAAAAAAAGAAAAACTCACCATGGTTCCAAACGGGATAGCTCTGGAGGCGTGGTAGTAGATGGCGATGAAGTTAATGAAGAAGGCCGTCCCACACACCATTGCTGGGATCAAAAAGGCCCCAATGAACATCTGCTTGATCCATCTTCTGCCTGCAGCATTCAAAACATACATTAATCTGATTCAATGGCCGATTTCTTCTATCACGGGGAACACAATGTAATGTGCTGACTCGTTATTACCTCCTTGTTTTGCATACAAACTTCCACCAAAGTAGCCGTTGACGGGAGAGGTTGCAGCGTACACAAAGATGGCTGTGCTCAGCATGGAGCCCCTCCTGCAGAGAGCAAAGGTCTGAGTTCAGCTTACCTTCCTCTGATAATGCTTGGATTTTTATTCCACACCAAGAGGGTTTGCTATTTTCAGTTCTTCTCTTCTTAGCTCATCATTTGGCTTTTGGCAGATTTTTGGGAGGAGCATTAAATCAGGCTGACTGTGTGTTAGGTGAACCATTTCACAACTTGAACAGATAAATGTTTGTTTTGAACTAAAACATGGGAACCACTAACCTGACTCCGCCAGATGGATTTGCTCCGCATATCCATCTGGAAACCTTCCGTTGAAGTAATTTTGGGAAATACTGGATAGCTGATTGGCCTGTGTTGGTGATAGACGGGCCAAATAAACCAATCAGATCAACGAAGCATATGACGTACTAACAGAGCGACGACGAAGAGGAGCCAATTGATAGATCAAACTCTTGCCGAAACCAGTCGGGAGAAGAGCAAAAACATCTTTTCCTCTGAGAAAAGCCTCCAGAGCAGTGTTTTGCTCTTCTTTCAGTGAAGAAATACTCTGTAATTCCGATAAAACTTGCTTGATAGCCACGCTAACGCTAGTTTCATCGGCTGAAGCCGCCATGTTCTTTAGACTGAACTGTCGCGCTTCTCGTTGCGTCACACCTCAACCCGCCTCAAAGCCAACGCTGATTGGACGTTCGTTTGGTGAATGGCTCCAAATTTTCTTTAATGGAGAGTCTCCAGACTGATCTGCGAGTGAAACCTTGAAAGCTTGCGAGATCAGGATGGTCTCACGAGGCTAGGGAACCACTGGTTCCACTAAGAATCTTTGTATTTTTACAAAACTTGTCAAGCAAACCAAAAAGGTTAAGTTTAGGAAGAACCAGGCCCACAGTACACAGATCCTACATCATAGTTGACAGTCAGCAGCAGATTACTTAAAAAGTCCCAGTGAAGTTTATATTTGTGATGTTACGACGAAGATTTTTAAAACTCTATTTCGAGAATAAAGTCTTAAAGTCACAACATTGCCAGAATACAGATGTATTTTATGAAAACTCTTACAAGAAACTATTTCTTCCCTAAAATGAGAAATGTCGAGCATCATTTAAAGTTATACTTTGTCATCGGTTTAACAAATAAGGAAATCTTAAGCCTTTTACCACAAGCATCAAACTGGGCAGGATGTCAAAGTTGACTCAGGTAGCTGTTTGGTGGAGCTGGTTTGTCGTCATATGCTGGTTGGAGCTCGAAGCTTTCTTTCTGAAATGGGTTGTTGTATGACGACTTCATTCTCGTAATATTACGACTTCATTCTCACACAAAACAAAAAAATCTCTAGCCTGGCCCTAATACTCCGTCGTATGATGGTCAGACAGAAGAAACTTTTTTTTCCCCTGGCATGAATTAAAAACAAGCTGCTGGCACTTAGACAGTATCTAACCATCCTCTTGGAGACTTTTTGACCCCAGGATTGTCCAGAGACCATCACTCACTCTGTGTACAGATCCTCCACCATCGCAACAATGATGACAATAAAGGAGACTGAGAAGATCTGGCAGCCGGAGCCGATCAGCGAGGAGAAGATCAAAGGATGGCTTGAAGGCCTGAACACATCTCCGTGGACCTGCTTCCACCCGTATTCATCACCAAGATCTCTGTCCTGTGGATATGTTGCCACGGAAAGCAGAGAAACCTTGCATTACGAAGCAAAAACTAAAAGAATTGTGTTTAACACCTTGGAGTCAGATGAAGATCGACGGCTCACCATGTCGTCCATTTCCTCCTCTTTGCTGTATCGGGCGTAATCCTTTCTCAGGGTTCTCATTAGAATCATGGACACCAGGCCCACCAGGAATATGACCATCATGAAGGAGTTAAAGATGGAGAACCAGTGAATCTAAAAGAAAAAGGTTCAAAAAACCTATGAAACTAAATACTCAAACCGCTCTGAAGGTTGTTTTTTTTTGTTCATGACAAAAAACTTGGAAAAACTAAGACCAGGTCTCACTCACCCTGTGCTGAAAGAAGGATGGATCCAGGTATTTGTCAAACCTGTCCTCAAACTTTACATCAGACTTCTTCCATTTCACCTGGATGGGAGCAAAGGTGCAGGTTTTTAAGGCTGTGTCCCATCTGAAGCACAGAAAACCACCAAACTCTTCTTCTATCCGTTAGCAGTTAATCAGATGGAGGTTAAAAAATAAAATCCTTTCAGACTTGGAAAACATCATCTGGTCTCACTAAATATAAGCACTAAATCACAAAGCTTAATATATACAAGAATATAACAACCATATCACACATGGAGGATAAAATTATGCAAACACGCTTGTAGTAAACTAAAGATTATTAAAGACAAACTATGTTTATATAATATTTAGTGCAGGGAATTCTCCCTATACTCATAAATCAAATCGTATTTAACTAGTGCTCAGTTCTGGTGGTCTTATGTCATAACCTAACAAACAGAAAAAGCTGCATTTGCATTTCCTGATTTCATGAAATCAGGAGACAGAAGCGGATATTTGCATACTTTAAAAGAAGGACCGTTCAGCACTCACAGAATACGACATTGCAATCCTGGTGTTGGGCATGAGTTTGACTTTGCTTTCGCTCGTCAGGTTTACGTCAACTATTCTGTTGTCGTTGTAGCCGATCTCCAGTTTTTTGTACGTCCACAGGTAGTGCTCTTCTCCGTTCTCATCTGCTTCACCAACAATGCCTTAAAAATAACCGACAAGCATGGAGTTAAAGATATGATGGTTAGCGAAACTGTTTGAAGGAGAACTGCAAGTCTCAGCTTACAACACTGCGAACTAAAATAGACAAACTAAAATAGACGGAGCTCTTTGCATTGTGTTACTATGGCAACTACAGCACGTAAACATAATCAGTGTGTTTTATTTACAACAGTGTTCATAATCATTCCACTTTTATGGCTTTTAAAATTTCTTTTGAGTCAAGAAATATGCATGGCGAGCATCTAGAAACACATGCAACTAATGGTGACAGAAGTGATAAAGCTCCCATCACATTTATATCATTAATAACTTTTTAACTTTTGCATACAGACTTCCAAAGTAGCAGTTAATAGGCAAGGTTGAAGCATAAACAAAACTCAGCCCTCTGTAACCTGCTGAATTCACTCTGACTTCCTACTACTAATCCATCTGAACACACATTTATAAATTTATTGAGGGAAGGATTTGATTGAGTCTGTGTGGTGACAGAATCAATCTGAGTTCCTTTTATTTTAATTATATAAGCAACACTCATATTTAAATAAGTCAAATTCAAACCAGACGAGACGATTATAATATTAAGTCTCCATTAAAGCTATTCAATTAAACAGTTTAACAGAAAATTAGAAGGGCTGCACTGATGACTGAACCTTGGATAAATCTATTATCTATTTCCATATAATATGAGAAGCATATCAATAACAGTTGGATTTTTTTTAGTTGCATCATGCTAGAGGTGGTGTGATATACTTTAAAGGGAAAATATTCTTCCAGCCTAACCATGCAAGGTTCAGAGGGGTCTGAATATACCCTGGGCAGGGCTGGGCTGCACAGAGAAACACGGGACCATGCACTGATCACCACTTCCTAACTGTTAATTTAGATAAACTGACCAACCTAACATGCATGACTTGAGGCCGTAGCTTTTTCATCTTAAATGCAAAATGAATATATCTATTCTAGACCTATGGTTTAATTACTGTTCGGAACAGGATGTATCAACAAGTAGCATGTTTTTAGCATTAGTGCTCTTTAGTAATCTAATTCAATACTGAAGCTCAGTTTTTAAATATATCTTGTAACATTCTCATAGTTTCCTTTGGTTTGCTGCTATGAAGCATATCAGAGTTTATACAGGAACGAGTAACTCTAATATAATGCTTTTTAATGCTCTCAGAAATAATTTTAATGACATAAACAAGTACCCATGACGCTCATACATATATATATAAAAAACACAGCAAAATCCTTTGTGATCTTTACTATCCACAGGCTGCAGCCACATCCAGAATTCCTCGTTTTTCAGCCACCTTTGTTGAAATTTGCATTTCCACATTCTCTAACTTTTTCTCCGCCTCGAGCTTCTTTTCCGAACATATGGCTTTACGATCAACGGGAAGCAGTTCCGTGTAAACACATGGAACCAGTTATATCTGACAAATTGTCTTTTTTTTTTTATAAACAATTTTTTTCATAATTTTAAATGCCACGATAATCACATTTAATGAACTTTAATGCCAATTAAGGTCTTATTTAAAAAAATTTTTTTAATTACTTCATGATTTTTAATGACCAGTGGAAAGCTTTCATATGTTAATTTGCTTCCTGTTACAGAAAAAGGCATAGGACAAACTTCTGTGCTAAAAACTGTTAAAATAGATCATAGCAGCCGGTGTTCTTCTCTAAAACCATCCTGGGAGAATTGAGAATTTAGTTTCAATGGGTAACAGACATCTAAAACTGTACTAAGTAATTCCCCAAAGTCACAAAGGAAAAGTCCCGCTGTTATTGAGCTTGTTCACATACTACAGGGCTCGATGTTAACCATTGCCCGATCGCCCGGGGCAAGTAATTTTTATGGTCGGTAGAGTACAAATTTCGCCAAAATAAAATTATCACTCAAAATTACTTAAAAATCAGCGATATTCGCTGAAAACGACCCACAAGCGTTGCCTGCGCCATCTTTGTTGTTTTGTACACATTCTCGTATAATTTTCCGCTAGATTGCGTGATTTAGCTCTTGGGGAGAGAATGCTGCAGAGCAGCAGCTGGATGATGAATTTAATCAATACTATAATACACGCTAGATTAAAAATGATCAGTCAGGGATTAGGAAAATAATAATAATTGTATGCGCACAGTGTAAATATTTCTATCATATGGCAGTCTTTTGTACGGTGGTGATACATTAAAAAATGTTCATTAAATTTTTCTCTTAGACATTGGAGTGGTGCATTTAAATGTTATAGAGATAAACATGTTAAATTGGTGAGTAGTAGTAGTGTTAGTTTTTAACCTGTCAAGTTTTTTTTTAGATTTTTAACATAACAATTTATATTTTTCCAAGCACACAACAGTTTAAAGCAAAGTTTAGTTTGAAAAGAATGTGCAGGAAGAATTGAAAAGCATGTTAACACGGTAATGTAGGCTTGAGTTCATTATCTGACGCATGCATATACACACCAGGAACCTGGAAACTTAAAAAATACTGAATTACAAAAAACATTTAAAAAACAAACATGTTTCATTGATATATATACAAAAATAAATATTAGGAACTATATTTATCAAACATTATACTGGGCAAGTAAAAAGTGTTTCTCGGCGAATGAAATGTGAAAGTCACTTGCCCGAAGGGCAAGTGGTAAAAATCCTTAACGTAAACCCCTGTTCTATCATGTATCCTTCCTCCTAAGTCAATGACTCGACACTACCGGCCCTGCTACCATAGACAAGTTCTTATCAGACCAAACTGAATTTTATTGGATTATGAGTTAAATCCACCTGAGATGTTTGCAACTCAACAATAAACCATCTATACAGATTTCAGGATATAAATTAGAGATTCTGTTTGAGGTAAACAGGCGTTCTCCATGCATAAACCAAATAGGCATTGTAAAACAGCTATAGAACTATAGATCTAACAATCTTAGATCTCACTACTCATGTGTGAACTCTTTAAATACAGTAGAGTAAATATCAGAGCCCCACCCGCTGCAGACAACATCCGCGTACACGCCGCGTATGTTTAACCAGCTGGAGAAGTGGTGGCTATTATTGTAAAAGAAGCAGCATAGATTTGGCCTGAAGAGGAAGAGACCATAGAAATGTCTGTAATGACAGGGAGTCATTCATACCCCTCTAATATGTGACATCAAAGCTCTTGAGCACAGGTTATTATAATCACTGCATGTCACTGCATTAATTTGCCTCCAAACCTCATTAAAAGGAAAATTTGTACTCTCTAGTGTACTGCATTTAAGTTAGGGAAACTTCATAAAAAGTAGTAATTAACTAAGCACAAAAATTCAGTTTAATTATCCACACTAGGCGCATTAAGATAATTTATAAACAAAACTTTGCATGTTATCGTTTTTTTCTGGAAAATAAAATGTGTTGTTCTTTTAAAAAGGAATATATACATACTGGGAAAAAATGTAGCAATTAGGGAAAGAAAATAAAACATGGAGAATAGCATCACTTACCCCAGATGGGGAGATCATCTATGTACATTTGATACCAATAGTGATTCTTTATGGCATAAACAAAGGCATCCTGTTTGGGTTTGTCCAAGTCAATTTCACAGTATGTTGTCTGCATGACTTCCTCTGCAGAGAGTTAAAAAAAAACACAATTGGGAACCATAAATTGTGAGAAGTACATTCACCATGCTGAAGAAAACTGATAAAGACGTTAACTTTGCTATAAATGCACTTCCACCAAACAGAGCAGAATACCTTTAAACTTAATATCCAAGCCACTGAATTCCAGCTCCACTCCCTGTAAAGCCTCGCCGAGTGTTTCATGGTAATGGCTGATGGTCTTCTTGGAGCCCACGCAAAAGGGCAGAGAGAAATACTTGTATGTCTCCTGTCGGTTGTGGTAAGGCCCCACCGTGTTCATCCATAAAACCACCTCCTCCTTATCTGTGTACTGGGAAGGGAAAACAAAAGGATGCATTCAGGGCAGTCCCAAGAATGCAACACCTGTTCTGCAAGTCCTTCGGGTTGTAAAGTATACACTATTGATTTGATGCGGGCATAAGTAGCTTTAAATACAGATTTCAATTAACAGTAACAGTTCAACAGGGTATGATAATTATGTTTAAATTAAAATAAATGTTTATTGGGCATCAGTCTGTAAAAAAAAAAAAGCAAAACTGTTATCAGATACTCTTCCTACATTAATATTGACTGTCAATCAAGCAGATGTTGCTTTGCACTGCCGGTCAGCTAGCTGAAAGACGGCAACCATACATTTACTTTGCTTACATTGAAGGCAAGTCCAACTATTTAGAAATAGTTGCAAAAAAAAGCTAAAACTAAAGAAGATAGCCCAACTAATAATCCAGATAATATGACCATGTTGGTCTGTTTTTTCTATTCAGAGATCAAGTTTTCTGTAAAACACGCACCTAAAATTCACAATACATTTTGTCTCTTTTTTTTTTGCTTGTAGATCCAAAGAATAGAATTCAGCTTTATTGTCATTACACTGTCACAAGTACTATATAAAACAAAGTACTTTTCTAATCACCATTATAATTTAAATATTTGAGTACTGGAAATGCCAGTTCATAACTGGTTTTTATTGATTCCCATCAGCAATGTATCCAGAGCCTAATGCTGAGGTTTTAGTTAGACAAAGTCATATCTGATTCTCTGAAGGAATGTATAAATCTTTATAACCAACAAATAGTCTTGTTGTTAATGATTTCATGTATCTATTCCTGAATGAACATATGCAAACACTCCTTAGTTAGTACCTGTAAGGTCCATATTCAGTTCAAAACTGGAAATATTCATAGCTAAACTTTTGGGATTCAATAAACCATTTGAAACAGTGTTGCAACTGGTGACTATTTTGCTAATTAATGAATCTTGATTGTCTAATGGATTAATAATCATAGGGTAAAAGGCTCTTTCTGTGTTCTGATAGACAAAAAAGGCTTTTCTTGAATGCAAAATGTAAAACTTCTTTCCCTTTTTTTACAAAACTGCTCTGAACAGGTTGCCCTTCCAGCTAATGGCATTTTTAGAGTCTCTATATTGCAGTTAATGATTAATCAATTACTAAATTAGTGGACAATAATTCCAATAATCGATTTAACAGGATTGTTTGAGCCATTTCTTAAATGAATTAAAATGTTAGGAATGATGAATGGTTTATTGATTTAAGGCAGAATGATATCTGTATTTAATGGTGACTAAAATGTTATTTACCATTACAGGTAGAATAACTGACTTTTTTCAAACTAAGGATGTGGATAAAAGTAGTAATTACCTTTTCTTTAAATTAAGGTTTGGTTATTATTATTATTTTTTTAGATTTTGGGTTACACTGGTTTCAAAATCAATTGAGAGGAAAACAATACTGTCTGCAATGTTTAACATTTAACAAACTGCAACTTTCCAACTGAAAAAGTTTTTGATGTACAAATGTTTTTAAAAAATCCTGAAGAAATACTCCTTTTTGTTTAAAACAAATGCAGTTTGGGCATTTAAATTGAGATGTTGCTTTATATTCACTCCCTGTTATCACACAGTAAGAGCCTGATATTGACTAAGAGTGAAGTAACCACCATAAGCACTGGACTGGCTCTAAAACAGAAGGCTATTGCTATCAAAATGAAATGCAAACTCATGAAAATATCCTAGTTATCACTTTAAGGCAGAGCCGTACAACCAAAGAGTGATATGCCTTAGCCATGTTTGCTTACGTTTAAGGAAGTGAACTTCCACGCTGTATCCGTTTACTCACCTAACTCCTTTCACACCCAGAAGGACTTTTTTAGGAAGATAAATCAGCCTGAGATCTGCTTAACATTTCTAGATTTTATCTGACTCCCATTAAACGTATGGCAGAGTAAATGCTAAAAGGCCTCAACGTTTCACTGGTATCTCATCTAAGACTCTTTGCATTTTTAGATACGCTTCAACAGTAAATCTACTTTTAATTTCCCTAACTAACCGATGTTGGTATGCTGCTTCTGGATGAGGAGATTGTACCGGTGCTAACGGGAAGCTAGTAGCAGACGTGTTGCAAAAAAGCTAACAGTTAGCATAAGCAGTTAGGCTAATTAACGGCTGCATGCTAGCTGGCTAACTGAATGCTTATCTGATTGATAACGCGGCAGGTATCGGTTTATCACTCAACAGGCCAGGCCCTTAGTCCCGCCGGGTGGGATTCTGTGTCCTGAACCGCAGCTAGCCTCTGCCGCTACAGCTAGCAGCTTACACACAGGCATAAACGTCCATTATTTTTCAACGCTCTCCTCTTTTCAGTCGGCGCTTAATCAATCGCTCTCTTACCGTGTGCTCGTGTTCATCCGCGTCAACGGGTAAGAGAGAGACTACTACTGCGAGGAAAGCCGCCACTGCCACCTTCCACCGGGAAGAGCCCATAATTTCGGTGAAAGTATGCAGAAAGATTGGGGCTGTTAGCTTCGTTGGGCTAATATCCCACCTTCTTCCTGGTTGTATGACAGAGGCAATTTTCAGGGATGCTCTCTGTACGCTCTCATCGCACCTACGCCGGATTGGTCGGGAGGAGTCACGTGGTTCTGGGTATCCAATCAGCGTTGAAAGCGATGGCTCCAGCGATGATTGGAGGAACTCTGTCAGCGCATCTTCCGCAAGCTTCAGCCACGTCATCCCGACTGCCGAGATGAGAGCTTTACCTTTGACAGAGTGGGGGAAAGGGTCACGATCCGGGTCCACGCGTGGCCCGGACGGGGTTCTGTCAGTTTCTGAAAAATTCTGAACTATAATTTCACACATTTACCTAAAACTGTAACTCTGTTTTCATAAGCATGCAGTTCATCACATGGCTGCAGGAATTTTTCAAAAACTTTTTATGAGCTTATTTAAACTTACTACCAAAATTACAAAGACAATATATATCAATATGAAATATCTATGGAATATATTAGCTTCTCTGTTTCCCACAAGACTTTTCTATTAAAAATGTGCAGTTATTTAATAATAGAATAAAATAGAAAACCCTTTTATTGTCCCACATTGGGGGAATTCTGCTGTTTACAGCAGCAAAAAGACTGTAGAAAAACTTGTGGACCTTAGAAAAATTTATAAGAATAACATAATCGTAAAGAGTTAATAGATAATAGACATAAAATACTGTAAAGTGTTTTAACAATATAAATCCATGCATCTGGAATTTAGACAAAAATCACAAAAGTACTTAGTATGATACTTGTATAATTTTTTTAATATGATTTTACTATAAAACAGTATTTTTCTTTCGGATCTTTTAAATTATTATTGTTATATATTTTTCCTTTTTGTTTTTCATTTATAAAAATAAAATTTAATTCGTTCAATTATGCATTTAGAACAAATCAACAATTTTTCTAAAAAGAAAAAAGTTTTCAAAAACAGTTTAAGGATCAAATCACAGCAGGTTAAGGTGACATATTTTGCCTCCTTTCCTCTGATACCCCTATATAAAATCCAAAGAGTTTAAACTATCACTGACAGAAGAGACACTAAGAATCAGTTAAGAAGCTATTGGTTACTCTAGAAGAGCTGCAGAGATGCAAAGCTTATGAAATAATTGTTTGATAGAGCAACGATTAGCCATTAGCTCCAAAAATCTATCATTTATTAAAGGGTGCTAATAAGAAAGCCATTATTAAAAGAAGGACATTACAGGACCTGTTTGCTTTGAGAAAAGTGGGAAACCAAAGAAACATGGCAGAATAAGACCACAATTAAATACATTCTGGAGACATCCTACATATAAAATTCTATATGTAGAATGTTACCTAATATTGCACATTACTCTGAAAACAGTATCTCTGTGAAGAAGCACAGCAGTGGCATTGTGATGCTGTGGGATTTTTTTTATTCAGCAGGGACATGAAATTTGGTCATTTTCTTCTGTTTGTATCACACTAAACCAATATTATAACCCATACTCCATCGAAATTTGTGAACTTTTTAATGCAAGAAAAGAAAAATAATTTTTTAGTCTTAAATTGCTAATCAGAGCCTGTGTAAGAGAGAACCCCTCTGGCTTTCCAGCTAATTCTTTCCCACAACTGAGCTCCAATGCATGAATCAAAAAGCATTTAACAACACAGAGAGGATTTCAAAAGGTTTAATGAATTTATTACAGTAAAAATCATCTTGAAGCTTTACATGTTCTGTATTTAGAGGATAAGAAACCGACTTTACAAAAAAAGGATACAACACTTCAGTATGTTTAACCAATCATTCAACTCCAGTACTTTCAATGTTTATCAAAAGCTGCAACAATTTATTGCATATGAATTAAAAGTTATTTAAAAAAATGTGATTATTAAAGGATTTTATGAAAATGTTAAAGTATTAAAAAACAAATTCCACTCTGGGTTTGTTGCATGTATAATTTGCTTAGATATTGAAATGTAAATTCAACCTTTTGTCGATTAATTTTTCCAGATTATTTCCTGAATGCAAACTGGATGATCTTTCCAGAAGGTTTTACCTAAAAGATGGATCCAAAATTCTGATTCTGAAATCGGAGCATTAGGCTCTTTACTGCTTGATGATGGGCTTCCGGCCGGGTCTGTTGTGTTTTATTGATGGTAGAAGGTGTTCGAACCAGTGGAAGAAAATAACACTTGTTGTTACATTCAGGTCCGTCTTTATCCGAGGTCCAAGTACTCTTTCCAATGCTACAACGAATTCACAAACTCCCTGCCAAGTGGAAATAAAAGGAAACAGTGTAAGCTTTGCAGAAAAAAAAAAACATAAATCTCTCATTTCTAGTTTATAAAAAGTACCTAAAAAATGTTATGGTTTTGACCAGACTCTAAAATTACTTTTATCAAATAAAAAATGTTTAAAAGCATTTGAAAAATGTCTACACAACTTATTTGTGAAAGGTTTGTTAGATAAACAGCTTCATTAAGCCCAAGAGACACCGCAAAGATTTTGGAGAAAGTTAAAACTGGTTTATGTGGTAAGATCTATAGTTCTACACTCTACATGTCTGACTTATATGGAAAGGTTGCAGGAAGAAAACCAAGAAGGAAATAAAATTGTAAAAAAAAATTAGCAGTTTTTACCAAGGAAGACAAAGAAACTTCATGGTAAAATACAGTGGTGGCAGCATAATGCTGGGATCCTTGTCTTTATTAGGGACAGGGATGCTATGTAGAGTTGAAGAAGAACAAATGAGCTAAATACAGATAAATCCAGCAACCAAACGTTTTATAGCCTTCAGAAGACTTGAGACTGGGAAGGAGTCGCCAACCAGGAGAAGTACAGCCAGAAACACACAGTTATGGCTGTGATAGATTGATTCAGCAAACAGGAATGGTCGACATGTTGAAAGTGTCACACTGAATAAATGCTAAAATGAATGAGCCCACTCTATTGCCACTAAAAGGATTGGTGCTTTGAACGCCCAGGTAGCATTTATGCAGGTAAATTCACTTTACCAGGGCTGTGGATCTTCTGCGGACCCAGTCCCTTCCAGGATTTTGAGGGGTAGTTGATATACAGCTTCAGTGCTCTATTCCACCAGTAAAAAGTCTACAAAAGATGTTTATATTTAGATCTTTTTTTAAGCTAGAAAGTACACCTTAATACTTCAGCTTGAATTATTCTTGTGGTCAGTGTCTCAAGCAGTGGCAGAGCCCTGGGTGATCAGGGCTGGCCGGTGTGGAATGGCAGCAGCTTTAACATTGGTCAGTGATTTGGTTGTAACCCATGAGAAAGTACACCTAAGATGAGAAAGTACACCTAATACCCTCACCTGTATAGTCAAACAGCCTGGTTTTAAATTGTGTCGAAGCAGAGCTGCTTAATATAAATAAATGCACATGTGGACTTTTATAGATAACGTTTTGGCATAAAAAACTTTTATGTGTTTTTGCTGTAGATATCTGAGAGTTAACTGTTGATTATAATAAAAGAAAATACCTGTGTAAAATGTTTTATAATTGTTATTCTAATTGAATCATACATTCAAAAAAGACTCTGTCCAGATGCAGATGATAGAAAAAAAAACTTTTTAAAACTTAAAACTTTTTAACTTTGGGGATGTACTTATAGCTGGCAGCATACATAGGAGGTAAATGGAGAACAAGTTGTGTGTTTTTATTACTGCCAACTACAGGACTGTAGGTGTAGTGCAGTTTCTCAGGCTGATTGCCTGGGGGCTTCTAGATTGATGGGAAAGCACACTGATGAATTACCCAGGATTCTTATTACTGGGTGAATACAAATCCAGGGGCTTTCAGTGGAAAAAGGGCTTTCGTTGCTGAAGGTGATTCTTCATTGCAAGAGCATGGAGTCTACATAGTTTTCAAACTAAGCATTTCCAATTGGGCTACATCTGCTTTTAAGACAATGAAAATTCAGATTCTTTTGTATTTTTGTATATGATAAGAGTTTGAAGACTTTAAAAGCTGATAAAAATCAGATAATTTTTAGTTTGTCTTGTTTTGCAGCCAGGAGCTGAAGGTGCATTAGTGTTTAACTACATCCCAATCACACTAAAAGGAGTCAAAGAAATGTTCTCTCACTTTAAGACACCGGGAAGCTTCGGATCGCGATATAAGCCGTTGTGCAGATATCCCAGAGAACCATCAAATGTCACAAGCTTGACTCTGTCTTTACCCTGCGCCTTCGCAGCAACCTCGTACGTCTGAGAAAGTTAAACAGAACAGCTGAATTACAGTGATGACTGTAAAGCAAACATTGCCTGAAAGTAATAAAAAGCCTTACCTGTCGAGCTACTTCTATGGGAACCAAGTGATCATCCTCTGAATGAAGAAACAGAATCGGACTCTTCATTTTCTTCAAACTGAAAAACATATCTTGGTAAACAGAAAATCCTCTTTTCATATGATGCATCTTGTAATATTCTGCTCATATGAACCCACTCACTTTTGTTCTGTAGGAAAGACAACCTTTTTTTGTTCCCACAGGAACCTGAACAGGTTCTTAATGCCTGGAAATGTCATGTAATACTTTAAGGAAGGAAAAAAAAAACCATTGCAAAGTCGTTAGCGACAGAAAAAAAATCTAGAAATTGTGAAAAATGTTTGGTTAGTGCAGCCTACCCAGCCAAAAACATAAAACGGCATATACTGTCGTTCACTGTTGAACGCCCCCTCGAGAATCACGCCATCAAAAACGACGCCTAAACAGGAGTAGAACAAATTAGCATCGAGACTTTCCTAACATGTCCTTAGAGGCCAGCAGTAGAACACACCTTGTTCAAGCAGCTTCACCGCAGTGTTGGAGATCACCCTGCACAGAAACACAGCCTTCAGTTTGTCCAGCTTTTACCTCCTCGCCACGTAGATTTTAGTGCCAAATGTCAGGCTTCATTTTTGGATGAACATGAGACACAGTTAAAACCAGATATCACCACACACTGTTCAAAACATGATGCATATTAGCCTTCTTAGCCTCGGAGTCTGACTGCTTTAACCTGCTTCTTTGTGTAAAATCATTGGAAAAACAAAATCAGCCATAATATCAGGATCTGGGAATCTAGTTCATCTATGGATCCTCTTTCCGGATGTCTGAAGTCATCATTTTTATCTGTATAAACAGCCCAGAAAGTTGAGTTCTGTACCCCAAGAGATGAAGGCGTTTTACTCCAATCTGAGCAAATTAACGCAAAACAAATTAGACCTCGAGAAGATGGAGTAATTAACCATCTGAAACAGGTCCCGTACCAACATGGACTTAAATGCCACTCAGTAAGAAGAAGCCATTACTCTAAATACCAGATAAAAAGAAGCCGGAGACAAATATGTTGTTCTTTAAGGCATTCTGTGTGTTTGGTTGAACAAAAATGAAAAAGTTGGCGCCATGGTGACCATTGTTAGCCTCCTGAGACCGTCCTGATCTCGCGAGCTTTCAAGGTTTCACTCGCAGATCAGTCTGGTTACTTTCCGTTAATGAAAATTTGGAGCCGTTCACCAAACGAACGTCCAATCAGCGTTGGCTTTGAGGCGGGTTGAAGTGTGACGCAACGAGAAGCGCGACAGTTCAGTCTAAAGAACATGGCGGCTTCAGCCGAGGAAACTAGCGTTAGCGTGGCTATCGAGCAAGTTTTATCGGAATTACAGAGTATTTGTTCACTGAAAGAAGAGCAAAACACTGCTCTGGAGGCTTTTCTCAGAGGAAAAGATGTTTTTGCTCTTTGCTATGCGGAGCAAATCCAGCAAATCCATCTGGCGGAGTCAGGTTAGACCATTAGTACATTTGGAGCAAGCCTGAAAACACCATCATCACTGGGAGCTACAGAGGCGGCAATAAATAATAGATAATTGAACTTTATTGATCTCATATTGGAGAAATTCACCTCTGCATTTTAACCCATCCCCTTGGGGAGCAGCCATTGTGCAGCGCCCGGGGAGCAATTGGGGGTTAAGGGTCTTTGCTCAGAGATCGAGAGTGGCAGGCTGTGGGAGTGGGGCTCGAACTCAGAACCTTAGGATTCCAAGCTCTGTGCCCTAACCACTTCCTTCCATTTCTTCAGTAGTTTTACTGACTATTGAATTAATGAAAAAAATGATATTTAATTAAAGCTACAGTGTGTAATAATTACAGGGATATAAAGTCAGAAATTTAACATATTATACATAACTATGTTATTTATCATCACCTATGAGCTCAGCCTTTTAACCATAATATTTGCGTTGCCTTAGAATTCGTTATTTATAATTACATAGGAGCGGGTCTCGCAGCCATGGGGGCAGACATCTTTGCGCTACGGCAAGCGCAGAGGCAACAAACTAGCGATTGCGAGATCTCCCATTACGCTCGAAAATAACTACGGCAAGTTGAGAGAGATTAACTGAGACGGTACTGAACAGTAGATGGCAGTATTATGCCTGAGAAGCGTTTAGTCTGCCTGAAACCAAAGAAGAAGAAGAAGCAGGTATACGGCGCTTCAGTAACAAGAAAGGTGAACAAGGCGGCAGGGCGTGAGTGACTTTGCAAACTGTTTGGCACTGTGTGGCCAAACATCAGACGAATGGAGGATCATGCCTACTCTGTATCACAACGAAAAGCGGCGGACACCGAACCCCCGTCATCTAAGAAGCGGAAACACGACGAGAATAAACGCAAGCGTGAGAAGAAACGACAAAAAACACGGATCAACATTGGCACGGCATTTACACGATGGAAGTCACTGATGGAGGAAAAAGGTTTTCAAAGTGACGCTCAAGTTGCCAGTTTTCTCTTGGACAGGTAATTAATCCTACACACACAATTGTCTAATATCACTGCAGTTTTTGGAGTACAGGATGCTCAGACCTGTCTAAAACAATAACATGCTGCGTGATGATGCTGTTACTCTCCAGTATACTTATTCAGCAACGTCCCTGACGTTTCACAGGTAATGATTCAGTAATTTTCTGTAAAACAATTTTCTGGATATATACCTCGGTTAATTCTCTCCGGCTCCTTTGGAGATCTTCAAGCCTTTCTTCCTCTGCTCTCACCCCGCTGGCACCCCTCCCTCGCCTGGCCCTAGCTGCACGCCCACCCCGGCCTCTCTGCCCTCTTCCTCTCCCTCTTCCTCGCCTTGTAACCCCCGTGCCACAAACAAGACTTGGACTCTGTAAACGGGGAATATATATTCTTCTAGCGAACACAATCTCGCTGTTAAACTAATGACTACAATTACTTCGTCTGTTTATATCACCATGCAAAGCAGCTCACCAAAACGTCACAACGACGTAGAAAAAATAACGGGTATATTTATTATCTAAAGTCTACATGAAATCTATACCCTACACAGACTAATGAAATACTATCTGTAAAATTATCTATGTAAACAAACCTCATCACTTGAGAAGGTAGGTGATTCCGACGTCGTGGAAGACATTTTGTCCCGTAACGCTCGCCGTACTGTTGAAGGGGGAGAAGCGGTGGGGGGGAGACGTTCATGTTGCTGCAGTCTGGACGTTAGATGTCGCTGAAAATTACACACTGTAGCTTTAAGCCAATTTCCCGTGTTTTGAGTAGGTTAGTAAGAAAATGTACCAATGGAACAAGATGGTTTACATTTAAGACATGGGCGTAGGTTTGCATAGGGACCATAGGGACATGTCCCTACCAAAATTTTGAACCGACCTAATTGTCCCTACCAATAATTGGATGCGAGCAACATGTTTATAATTTACAGCAGTAGTCTTTTCCTCTCGCAGCTCCTCTGCCTGGTCTCTCTTGTCGCTTTCTCGTAGCAGCGCATGGAACTGTGCTGCGCTGTTTAACTCCACTCTCATTGGTTGTTCTGCCTTAGGTTCCGCCTTCTCTCTCTCTGATTGGCTGTTTTTTAGTCTGCGTGCACTTGGAGCACAAAATTGAAAATTTATTCACACTAGAATGCAGCGGTTACTACAATTAATATTAGGCTACAAAACAAGTCCCAATTAAAAAAAAAAGGAATATCATGTACACTAAAAAACAAAAGCCTTTTTTTCTGTTATAAAACGCCAGGAGTTCTGAAGACTGCTGGAAAAATGGGCAAATAAAGGCTGTAAGCCATCAACATTTCTGATTCTTAGCCACAGCCAACTAAAAAAGAAAATGTGAGGGTTTCCTTTTTGCCAATATCGAGTTGCTATTACTGTTTTCATTTTTTGATGACTCTTTGAGGAAGTTCAGGTATAATTATTAGCAGGTGTTATTTCTCTTATAGAGTATAACAACAAGAAACGGTGTCTATACATCTGCTATTTTTGGTTTAAAAAGCATAATTAGGGTTCCACATAATAATAGTAATTTAATTGACTATTTATACTTCTAGAAATAGGATAAAGACAAGAACAAACAGAGGAAGAATATTAATATTGATTTTATCTTACATAGATTTCCACACATTCTATAAGTAAATTAGTACAAACATTAATGTCTGGTAAAAATGCTTGAATCTGGCTGTTTATTTTGGATATTATTAAATTCCAGATAAGATAGTGTTATATTGTCTTTTATAATTGTTAAAAGTGATTTTATATTTGAATACACTCATTCTACAGCTCATTCTTAGTGTTGTGTTTGTAGACGATGCCACTAAAAAAGGAAAGGAGCTATTTAAACAGTCAGACAGTAAGCAATATAGGACGATGATAAAAGGTTGTGTTTCATTAAATCCTTTACTATTAAAAATGCACTTATACATTATATGATTATAGGAAACACAGATATCCAGTAATAATGATGCAGGGGCAGCTTGTAGGTGAAGCAGCTGCCCTTCAGTGCTTCAGGTGATGTCTAAATAAACCAGGTGAAACTAAAATATTTCCTCTTCAGGAATTCTGGATGGAGAATATTGACAGACAATTTTTTTTTTAAATCATATATATATATGTATATATTGTATTTTTACAATTTTGGGATAATTTTGGTATAATTACTGATCTAAGTGGGTTGCTCTGTCGGGGAAAGGCACATTTTACATTTATATTACTGTATGTTTTAAAGTCTCCATACTCCAGTTAATGATAAATTACATACTAAATTAGTTAACAATTATTGAAATAATCAATTAATATGATTAATTTTTTTTAGCCCCAGATAAAATACATGAAATGGGCTATGCAGAGTATCTACAGCCCAGATGTTCAACTTTTATAGTGAAGTTAATATATTAATGAATGTATTATTTTGCTTGATACAGAGAGAGCATAGTAGGCTACAGTAGGTAAAATATAAGAGTGGGGTTTAACTCTGCACAATTCTATATCTTAAAAAGGAAAATCCTGTATTTACCTTCTCTCTTATAGTCGTTCAAATGAAAAGATTTTCAAAGTGGACAAAAGTCCTAATTCCACATTCATCAGAGCCGGTGATACTTCAAACATTGATAAACAGCATCTAATGAGTGTAGTGCTTATACATTTTTTATTAATGTAGCAAAAGGATGCTTCTCTCTTTTAACAATGAATTCCTCTTATCAGTACGGATGCTTACATCGAGCTTAAAAAAGGACATGCATATTGCATAGCACCAATGACACCCGACCAATAGTGTCCCTACCAAAGTTCAAATCAAACCTACGCCCTTGATTTAAGAACAAAACAACTTGATAAGACAAAAACAACCTGTCATCTTATTTCATGTGTATAATATCTAATAATTTTATGTCAAGGATAGAAATTCTCCTTCTGGTGGCAAATCACCTTATATATCTGCTTAAATTAAGGGTACATACACTTATTTTAAGAACATTTGAGCCGTTTTTTAGATGTTTTTGCAGTGAGGAACATCCGAACACATCAGCCAGGAAGTTAAACGCATGACGACAAATTGGACCCTCAAAATGGACAATTAAAGGAATCATAGCTCAAGATACAAAGTTGGCCAAAAAAAACCCCCATCAACCTTTGAAACGGATCCCAATCTGTGAGTGAGGCTGCTTTCAACGCTGAATCACTTCCTCCATTAAAGTAATTATGGAAAATGAGCCAAAACTGCAGCAAATGTCTGTTAGAAACCTACAGATTAGAAAGCAATTCTAAAAAAAACTCACAAAAAACCCTTGACAGAAAGTTAAAAAATAATTAGTTGTATTTTTATGTGTCCATTTCACCCAAATTAATTATTTTTGGTAAGTCTAGTCAGTAGTCTAGTTGTAAAAAAAAAAAAAAGAAGGGGGATGGTGGAATATTTTTTTTTTGGAAGCATGCATTGCCTATTCTATTAACCTAAAGCAATATGCACGGTATAGTTGTTACATGTCAGGTAGGCCAAGGCAACTCACAACAAAAATATTTTACTCTTAAAATCAGATTATTAGATAATATGCACTTGAAATAAGACAATGTGATTATTTTTTTCTTATTTTAAATGTAAATCGTCTTGTTCTATTTGCAAACTGTCTCACTTACCTCCTCAATTCAAGAATAAACTTAATTTAAGAAAATTTGACTTATCTAGATTTGGATTATTTTCCAGTGCTGACAGTGGACCTGCAGTCAGTCCCTGATGGCTATCCCTGCCCCTACATAGGGACAAATTTCCCACTGAGATCAGCTTCATAGTCATGGTAGGACACTTCTTTCATTTTATTTATTTTGCTCAGGCTTCTCATAAGCCCACAAGCAGTAAAATATTGTAAGAGCACTATTATTGCCATTACACTGGAAAAACAATCCAGAAATAAGCAAAAATTTAAGTGTATTTACCCTTAATTTGAGTAGGTAAATTAGATAGTTTGCCAATGGAATGAGTATTTTTACTCTTAAAATAAGTTAATTGGATAATATGCACTTAAAATAAGACAATGCAATTGTGTTTTCTTATTTTAGGTGTAAATTGTTTTGTTTCATTGGCAAAATCGCTCTTTTACCTCTTCAATCCAAGAGCAAATGCACTTATTTTAAGAAAAAAATATTTATCTAGATTTGGAGTTTTTCCAGTGTACTGTTAATGAATAGTAGAAATTTTACACATTCAGTATTAAAATGTCACATGGGATGGTATTGGGGGATGTTCATTTAAGACGAGCGATGATTTTTTTAAGAAAGAGGATGCCATCTCCTCCTCAACTCAAGTTCTGACTCTAGATGACCTAAAAAAAAAAAAAAGAGAGAAAATAATAGGTGTGTTTTTTCACTCTGTTTGTCAATATCTGGTTTTAACTGTTTGCATTTTCAATTTTGGATCCAACATTAATTTTAAGATGCCAGAGTGTAAAGGTTTGTGTTTTTTCTGCTAACCCAGTGCCAAGAGAGTGTCCCCAGATGACCACCAGGCTGTCCCCGCTGCGAGCTTTGACCCAGTTGTACACATGCAGGGCATCTGTGGTCAGGCCAGACTCGGTCGGCTCTCCGGTGGAGTCTCCAAAACCTGCCAAAGGTTCTGACATCAGCTGCAGCTTTGACACAGAGCTGTAGAAAGACTGCTTTTCTCCACCAGGAGATGGCACTACTGTAACTCAAGAGGGAAACCTGCAATCAAGGCTGACCTGAGGTTGAACTGCTGCTTTTAGGCTGCTTCACAGCCAACAACTCAGAGAGCAAATGCAAAGGTCTACAGGGATCATAGGGCTTCAGAGAAGAGAAAATGAAATGGAAAGGACCTTGGATCTCAGAGGAGAGAGGGAACAAAGAAAGAAGACAATAAAGAGCTCCTACCTCTGTAGTCCAGTGCCACCACATGGTAACCCATCGAACTCAGCAACTGTTGACCCACAATGTTTAAAAAATGATCATTTAGAAAGATAAAGTCCAATCTTATGTCACGCAAAAGAACTAATCAGTGTTGGTGATTACTTACTTTTGTCACTCCCACTCGGTGTGGAGCTCCTCTGTGGAAATTAATTGGCAAACATACATGCAGACAAATTAATGATTACTATAACATATAAATAAATAAATGGCAGCAAATATGTGTAGCAGCGCTGATGGGTTTCTCTCCTCGCAAGCCAATTATCACAGAAAGGTGGTTCTGAAAAAACAGAAGCTTACTGAAATGTGACACATGCCGCACAGAGCTATCACTCAGACACTGTTCTCATTTTGATCGTTAAGGTTAAAAGCTAATTAAAACCAAAAACCTAATTTTTCCCATACAAATAAAAATATTAAATTGGCCAATAAAACTACTTCTACGGTCCAGACAGGTTAGGTTATATCATTATATATTTAATAGCACTGAGATATGAAAAGGAAGGTAAGCCACTCATTCATTCTGGTAGTTCAAAGAATGAATGGAAAGTTTAGTGGAAGGGAAACAGTGGTTAAAATACATGACCAAGTAATATCCATAGGCATCAAGGAAATTGCTAACAGCTATTCTACTCCTTATGTTATGCCCAACATAAAGCAGAGGCCATGTCAGTCGCCTCTAATGTTAAACTGGTTAGTTTAATGTCGGCACAGTCAACGAATCGATTATAGAAACATTCATACTTCTTCCTTTTGAAAACCTTTAAATAGATGCAAATGATATTTTCCAGCAGGACTTATTACCTGCCTACATTGCAATTAGGACTGGGCATTGTTCATACCCTTTATGGTTATTGGGATGCATTTCTTGTCATAATATATGATCATAATTTTGATTTATTGTTCAAATGAAAAATTTGAAATCATAACGTTTAAAAAATCCTTATTTTCTTTTTCCCCCCTTTCTTTTTTCATTCGAGCAATTAAAAAAATCAAAGAATATGATCAAATGTGAGTACTGTGGGATATTTAGTGATATAAATCACACTTCTTTAGTATTATTTTAAGATCTAAATGTGTGAATCTGGGACTATGATTGCAGTGACATGAACTCACAGCCATACAATTACCTAAGAAAGACTGTAAAGAAGTAATGGAAAGTTTTTAGATCCTCACTTTTATTATTAATACCATAGTATCTCAAAATATTGTGATAAGATTTTACTGCCTTATCACCCAGCCCTAATGGTAAAGGCACAAATAAATGATTTTATGAGGAAGGTATGAAAATACACTGATGAAAAACCCACAGGGAACAAAGAAATAATTTTAATGACAGTGAATATGCATGTTTATTTGCTGTAGGTGAACATATGATACACAATGCACAATGTATTAGTTTAGAAATGAACAGATACAGTTTTTTTAAGGCTGATTCCGATTATTTCGACTTTTCTCTAACCCAATTCCTGATCCTTTAACCAATTTTGCAGATTCTTTCATTCTTTCAGCCAATTCTTTTTGCCAAATATTACTTTCACTGCAAAAATTTAAAAAAATAAGTGTATTTGTTCTTCTGAACACGCAAATAATACGATTTCCCAATGAAATAAGAGATTGTGCATTTTAAATAAGATCATGGAGTCTACTACTTTGTTCTTATTCAACCTAGATTATCTTAATCTCTTGGCAACTTGTCTTAATCATCTCCTCAAATGAAGAGAAATTAGATTTTTTTGCATTCTTCTCTGATAAAAATGCCCCAATGAAAGCAAATTTTATATAAAATTTAAAATGAAAATGAAAAGACATTACTAACAAATTGAAAAAAACATCACCTACAGAGAGCAAATGGAGAGACCAGCATCGAGTTTCACATGATCTCAAAGCGTGGCTGCTGAATGCTCCAGTGACATTTACATAGCAGCTGATGCAAAGGCAGTTTAAACAGTGCTAATATATCGGCCAAAATATTGGCAGCCCGATGTATCTGTCCATCTCTATTAAATATCAGTTCTAGTTATTGACTTTATGCCACAAACGTCAAAATTACCAGAAACTGCCTTAACTTTGCCTGAACTTCATCAATCTTTGTGACATTAATGGGAAACAACATGAGCTTCATGTTTTGAATGGAAGTACTGAAGTAAATGAGTGTCCTAAATAGGGTTGAAACAATTAATCGGATTAATTGATTATCGACTAATTTAGTAACCGATTAATCGTTAACTGGAGTATAGATCCTATATAGAGAGACTCTAAAACATGAGAGAGCGACCCACTTACAGCAGTTATTGTGGCGGACCACTAGGGGGCTCCACTCTCACTCAGTGGAGAGATTGCAGTTATGTTTGTTCGGATGTGTATATACCGTAAATTCTCTAATATAGGCCCGGGCCTTTATTTCACTCAAGTGCATCGCGGTCCAGGCCTTTATTGGATAGAGGCCAGAATTAGAGACAGCCCTCTATTGCTATTTGAGCAAAACAGACTACCAGTGGAATGAATAAAAATGAGATTTTGTGTCTATTTGAACCTATAAAACACTAGGTTCATTTATTGAAAAAGTACAGTTACCATGTCTCGCTTGGTTTGAAGTAAAAAAAAAAAAAAAATCCTCCAATTCTGTTTAATTCTCCTCCTCAGTTTTTCTCCTCCTCTTCATCTCTCCCTTTAATCTCCTCATCACTCACGCTCCTCCTGTTCTGCTGCGTGTCTGTTCTCTTCCTCGCGCAGACGGGCAGCAGTCAGGGCCTGTCGTCCAGCTGCGCAGGGCTGTGGTACTTGTATGTTACTTACTACCACAAGTATAATGTTGAGGTATGCCCAGAAAAAATGTTTATAGCCCCGGCCTGTATTAGAGACCGGCCATTATTTACCTCCTCTGACAGCGAGACCGGCCAATGTTAGAGTCGCGGCCGCTATTGGAATACAGGCCAATATTAGAGAATTTACGGTATATGGATTTTCTGTAAAGTTGCTCTCAGTTGGAGTAGAGTAAAGAACTGTTTAAACCTGCCTGCTTTGTGTCGTCATCTTCACTCCTCCACATTATTACACTAAGATTGTAAGAAATATATAAACATTTTGCATTTAAGATAAAAAAAAAACATTTTCTTTCTGCCAATATGTTATATCCAGAACTCTTCAATTGCAAGTTGCAAAATTCTTCTTTAAAGAATCTTTGGCTATCCGATTATCAAACAAAAAAATAACCGACAGATTAATCAGATTGCAAAACAATTGATAGTTGCAGCCCTAGTCCTGAAACCTTGTGGATCAGGTGTGAACGTATAAATCCTCCTACCTCGTGCCTGTGTTACCGTGCATATATAAGAAGACCGGATTCCCATCATTTAGAGTGTTCTGGTACCAAATCAGGTCCTTCCCCTGAGCTTCTTTCCACCGACTCTCAGGAACCGTATGCCTGAAGATAAAACATCACCTACAAATAAATAAAATTTTTTTTTCTAGCACTACATGCTTTAAACCTATGACAGAAAAAAAAAAACAAAGACCCGTCTTATACTCACCACACACCCAGGGAAATCCCTTCCTCTGATGTTAAGTACATGTTGATGGTGTGATTGAGGGAGAGATCAGCAGGTCGGCCGAGGTCCACAAAGAAAGGCACATGAACTGCACACCAAGGGGAAGGACAATTTTTTTGTTAGAGCTTTAAAACCCCTCTGTTATGCAGAAAGGATCCTGACTTACGTCTGTAGGTGTAAATAACCGCCTGAATAAAATCAGGGATTACTTTATAAACGACAGGTACCAGAATGCAGACAGCAACAGCAATCAGTAAACCTTTTTTTAACCTCCGACCAGACCTGAAATCAAGCAGAGAACTGTTTTACTTATCTGCAGTGGTGGGAATATTTATTTCCAGCCTGCGATCCAATGGAAATGTAGCAGAAAACACAATAATATAATAATACATTTTCTTGATTCATCCATGTCTAGTGTTAGGTTTATTATTTATACATCATGTGCATTGTTATTCTGTTAGCCAGATTAGACAGAGTAGAAGGCCTTCCTTCACATTGTGGATGTCACTGTGTGTACGGAGGTCATCTAATCAGGACAGCCTTCGTGTCTTTAAAAATACACAGGATATGGGAACATCTTGGAGCCGGTCTGATAGAGGAGAGCTATCTGTAACCATGAGGCATAGAAGCAAGCTGCATGAAGTTTAAGACATGGATGGCGTGTCAGTTTCTGATACGGATAGCTAAACATCAACATGATGCAACACATAGACTCATGAGCTATAAGAAGCAGGAGATGACCTTGTTCGGGGCTCAATTTTTGCCAGACGCTCGCGGACGTGACTTTTGAGCCCACAGCTGTGCAAGCTCCAAGCATTTTCTCTGTCCTGTAACGACCTGATTTGGAATAAACTCTGTTATTTTTTACTCCTGTTTTATAGTCCTTTTTATATTGTTTTACCGAGTTTGAGTTAAGAGTAGTAAATAACTTGCTCCCAGGAAAAAAAACGCGAGGAAGCCCCCTGTGGCGCAACAGCTTTTTTAAAGGGACATAACTTCCTCATTTAAACACTAAAAAAAGAGATTTGGATGGACTCCATCAACGTCTAAATCCGAGATATTTTGGTCCATTTCTAACACCTTAATCTACTGGTTTTATAGTCATTCCGTCATAATTTCAGTGGTTTTAGGGATCGTTGTCCAGTTGATAACCTGTTGCTTACCAATACTGACAAGGGAGGAAAGTTTAGTTAAATAGGGACAATGACTGCCAGAAACATCCAAATCACACAGAGGAATAATACTGTGTCCCAGAGATTAGTTCATAGTCCACTCTGTTAGATACTTAGGTCATATGGCTGCCAACCAAGCCCACATGATCACCCTTCCACCACCATACCCAACATTTGGTCTGAGCTCAACCTTAAACATTTTAACTTTGAAACAACTTTGATAAACGGAGAAGAATCCCTTAAAGGGAACAGCAACTTTTAAACAGAGCGTGCACGAGGAAAAATGGGTTTGTGCACGCTCTCTAACATGTTAAATTGGCGTTCCCTCTCGGGAGCGGGTGCATTTTTTTTAAAGTGTAGAGGGCAGGTTTTTCCAAATCCTCACAAAAATCCTCCACTATACCTTTAACTGATCTCATTTATAAAGGAATGCTTCATGAAATTTTAAACTGTTAGATAAAAAATTTCAGAACATTGGAAAGAAAGAGGAAGAATGTTTTACCGTGCAATTATGGACTTAAATAAAAGAAAACAAAAAGGCTGTAAATTGTAAATGGGTTCATAGGACTTTCCAAATTAAAGGGCTGCAGAGGTTTCTCGTCTAAGGTCACTGCTGATGACTCACTGACTTGGTGTCATGTTAACACAGACACACCTGGATGCTCCAGTAAAGCAAATTGTGGTCACACCGCTGCTGATCAATTATTTAGATGCTTTAATTAGCAGCATATTGGCATGTACTCTGCCTCTTAAATCCTTTAAAAGCACCGTGTTTTTTTCCTGATTGCATCGGAAGCCAGGAATAAAAGTCAATGAGAGTCAGGTAACTGGGTTATAGTTGACTGTAGCAGCGGCATGAGATGCACTATACATCACTGATGAATTTCTAACCAATAGGTTATTTGAAGGGAGCAGTTTGCTCACTGAAAAACAGTTGTACTCAGGCTTGGAGTGGTAATCTGGGATACCCGCATTTGCTCGGTGGGCCGGTCCTAATTTCAGTGTGCCTGCCCTCCTTGTATCATACCGGCCCCCACACCTACTCTCTGGCTGAAGCACCTACCTGTGACAGTAATTAACTCAAGAAGTAATACAATGTTAACTACCTAAATGACGCACACAATATATGTAGCCCTTCCTTGTCATGCACATCCTTGTGGCGGTTGGCATATGGTGTAATTTTCTATTACTTCAAACTTCAAAATCCTTGCAACAAACTAAATTATAATAAAGCAAAAATGCTTTCTTTAAACCAAACTACTATGTTGCTCTTATATTTTCGAATTTGTGTTTGAATATTTACCAAAAACATGTTGTGGTGCATGATGGGGTTTTGAATCTACAGGCTAACGTTTCCGTCTTACGTGCATTGTTGCCAGGTTGGGATGGTTCCCAATCTGGCAGTTTAGGATGGCCGTCTATGTTTAAAAAATGTTTTTCTTTAGATTTATGACCAAAGAGATTAATAGACTTTGGTTGAAATTGGGCGAGATTTTGTATATCCAGGCTAGGGGTGGAACGGTTCACAAAATCCACGGTTTTTGGTTCGGTATATGTTTATTGTTACACCGAAAAATAAAAAAATTAATAAAAATTAAAAAAATGTATGAATTTTTTTTTAAATGAAATTAATGAAAAAATCCCCAAAAATTAATGAATTGTAATTATTTTTTAATGATTCGCGGAAACCCTGGATCAGAGCGGAGCGGACAGCGCCACAGTGGAGGCTGTAGGCTTTGCTTTGCGCAGGCGGTCTGGACATGATCTGGCATGATATGTTGGTCATGTTGCTGTTAGCATAAACAAAACGTGTTGCACAATGTTTTAGTTTTATCCACAACTTTCTTTCCGCCGTCATCGTAGGTCACTCTAAATGCAAAGTGGTCCCATACAGCAGACCTATAAAGTGCTGCTGGCGCGTCTTCCAACTCCTGTTCTTTCCCACTCGCCATACCCACACAATTCTCCACAACAACTGATTTTTTTCTTCGCTTCTTCTTCTTCTTGTTTACTACTGGTGGTTGGCTTTGGTCGCAGTACCGCCACCTTCTGCTCTGGAGTGTAAACGCTTCGCCTATGAGAAAATGGAGCAGCGCATGAACCGAACGAAACACACGAGAACCGAACCGAGACAGTGGAACCGAACGGTTCGGATGGTTTTCATAAACTGTTCCATCCCTAATCCAGGCGGTTTATGAAAATTTTTTAGGCTGAAAAAAATCTGAAAATTTTTTTAGTAAAATCTGGCACCCACTGTTACGTCCGTGTTAATAACCAAAGCCAGTAAAACTGCATTTTAGGAGTCTTGGTGATGGTTGTCGTTTGATGCTTGAAGATAGATCAGTTAATCCACAATGTGTATTGGTAATGTGTTTAATATTTGAGATACACGCGTTTGACTGTGCTTCTAGGAAGTCTATAAGTGGGCCGGTGTAGATGGAAAAATGCCAGGGCTGAAAATCGTTCCCAGTCCGAGCCTGGTTGTACTTTTGATAAAACACCGGGAACAATTTCTGACACTGAACCTAATGAGTTCTTCCCTCTGCTCATCTTTTTCTGCTCAAAACAGTTTTTATAAAACAGCGATGAATCATTCCTGCACTCGTCTGTTTAGAGTCAACAGAAAATATACCACACAGGTGTTTTAGAGCAACAGAATGACCCTTTAACCCTGCTTCCTGTAATACAACCCTGACAAAACAAGAGGAACTTTCCTAGGAGTTCCCTCAGAGAAGCATGAAGGGCTGCTGCAGCAGGTGCATGTTGGGCTGCAGACTCCAGCCCATCAGCATGAACATAAGAGCTGCGTACTGCTCTGTGGCTGCAGAGATAAGGAGAGACGCCTGGTTGAGATTTAAGTGTCTTGATTCCCCAGAGGCGACAACAGAAAGAAGGAACAGTTCCAGACTACAGCCAATTAATGGACAATACCTCCCTTCATTCCCTCTATTAATGCTCTAATCAGCCTGCAGAGCCTTTTTAGCTGAAGACCAATGTCTTTACGGGGCTCAAGGGACACATATTGCCAGCCATTCATTCTGAAATTAACTCCATCTTTGATTAATAACTTCTATTTCTTTGTGAAAATATATCCAAAAGCTTCTTAGGAGATTTTTAAAAAACATAAAAAGGTGTAATACAGTTATGAAAAAAAAAATACCCTCATTATAGTAATACGTTTTTTCTCTGATGAGGCATTTAGGAGTTGATTTAGAAACTGGGGAATAATTCATCAGGTTACCTGACTGCAGTGCTACTAAGCACTGCCAAGAACTAAAACCTAACAAGAACGTTTTTTTATATTTATTTAAAAAAATTCTCAAGACTACCTCTTACACTGATGTTCATATATTTAGATTATATACATATTTTTCAGGTTAAAAATGCTTTTCTACTTTGTCTTTGCACTGATATTGGTGGCTTTTAATCTATTGCATTTAATGAAATAAAGTCATTTAGATTCAGATTCAGTTCAACTGGATCCCACACATGATTTTTCAAAATTATAAATACTCTTAAGAAACTTAAATGGTGTATCTGGATACAACTCTAATTTAGCATGGTATAATTACTAAAGTCAAGATTTGTTTGCAACGTTTTTGCAATTGTTAATCTTATATTTCTGGATAATTTACACATTAAGGGAATAATACATCAGAAAATCTTAAAATATAGTATTTTTTTTAGGTTGTAATAATAAACAGTGCTCCACTTTACCTCTAAGTGTTTCAAAAATGAAACAGGATCTGTAACATGTGGAACTGATAAAGTTAGCCAACACTGGTGTTGGATTTATGTTAAACTGCTTATAGATGCTAGCCTCGCGAGCTTTCAAGGTTTCACTCGCAGATCAGTCTGGAGACTCTCCGTTAAAGAAAATTTGGAGCCGTTCACCAAACGAACGTCCAATCAGCGTTGGCTTTGAGGCGGGTTGAGGTGTGACGCAACGAGAAGCGCGACAGTTCAGTCTAAAGAACATGGCGGCTTCAGCCGATGAAACAAGCGTTAGCGTGGCTATCGAGCAAGTTTTATCGGAATTACAGAGTATTTCTTCACTGAAAGAAGAGCAAAACGCTGCTCTGGAGGCTTTTCTCAGAGGAAAAGATGTTT